ATTTTTTATATAAATTTTTTCATATAATATACTATGAAAGACATAAGACTTGTAACCCTACCTTTGATTTTGATGTATTATCTATGTATACTCAACTGAAATTATAATTTTTCTCGATTATTTAGTTGTTATTTAGTTGCCTTTAATTTTTTATTTTTTTTTTGATGGCCAGATTTCCTTTGATATTAGAGTGGAAGATCTCAAAATTTAATGCCTACATAGATCAAACAATACATGGCCTAATTACATGCTCCTTTCAACATAATTTAGTCTATGTGAATTTATCGACCCAAGTCAATATATTAATACCCGCTACATATGTAATCAATTGAGGTCAATATCAAATGTGCATGCATTTTTCGAATTTAATATACAGTTGTTGGGCTACAAGTAAAAATTGAGGGACAACAAAACATAAGAATTGAAATTAAAACGATGCATTTTTCATATAATCTTCAAAATACACTGTCCTACCATTTCATGAAATACTTTTTTGTTCCTTTTAATTCACTAACTTCGTTCAAATTTTAACAGCAAGTTAGTAACATGCATTATTAATTTAAAATAGCTAATTTCAAACGGAAGGAGTGAGATAAAAACAAAGGTCGTACTTAGTAGTCATTCATCCAACAAAAGTAGGAAATAGGAAACAAAAAGAAAGGATAAAAAAAATGGATGATCGAAGATTATGTAGAAGATATAAATAGATTATGATCGATACCATGTGGCAATGTTGTTGACTCCTTTAATTAATTTGCATTGGATTGCCCATAACTTAATAAAGCTAAAGGGCCGACTTATATTATTTTGTCACATGCCGTGTAGTAATGTTTTGTGTATGGAGCTTAGCTTATGGCGGTCCTACCTTCTTAACCGCAAGCGACTTCTTTGGTCATTTCTCGCATTGTTTGGATTTCAAGATTACACCAGAACATACATAGGATGCACTATTTTGCCCACCTCAATAATGTCTACAAACCCCTTTTTTTAAAACGCTCTTTGTGATTACTATCTGCATATAAATTAAGATAAGAACGGAAAAAAAAAAAGACGTTAAAGTAGGTAACATGTAGATAGAAATAATTTAATTAAATTCATGAAAATGAATTTATTTTGTGATGGATAATGGACTTAATTTAAGTATTTCTATCTACATTGAAGATAAATGTGAAAAACTACGTTAGGGAACATAGGTTATACTTCCTCCGTCTATAATTATGTGCAACAAAGGGGTACGTATTATTTGTGAGATATAAAATATTCCTTTGTTGCACATAAAAATATATAGTTTGATAACTATATATTTCCTATCCTAATTTATACTATGTAGATTTTTTTTGAGGGAAATTTATACTATGTAGATAATTTATCTTATTTCTTGATGATAATTAAACTAGTATTAATTATGTCAATTTAGCTCAGCTTGATAATAATACAAATGATCAATTGATCATCATCGTATAATCTACTGTATTTTACTTTGTTCTATTTCATGTATATAATTTCGAATCTATCATAAAATTCAAAAAACTTTGTTTTATACACAATGTTGTTCTATCACTTGTATGTAGTAATGTAGGCGACAAAGGTCAAATATAAGTGATTGTTGGTTACCTGCAATAATAAGATATTATGCAGTATTCACATGATATAATAATACTCCAAGAAATTCTCCAGTGACAATAATTAACCAGTACGTACGTAGTGTATGTCGGTAACACTACACCATGTAGGCATGTTATTATGTTATGTACCATTATAAATTTCATTAGGGTTATACATAAGACCAGATTGGAAGAGATTTTAACCACGCATAAATCTCATAACACTACACTATAAATCTCATATTTTCTTAATAGTGGATATCGTATTAATGTGTACTTTTGTAAAACAGTTATAGAGCGATATTACTCCATACTTTACATCACACTAGAGTATAGCATAATTAGGTCTTATTCTCTTTATTGATATTAATGGACTAACTCAGTCAAAAGTTTAAACTAACGAGTAGAATTTCAAGATTGGTTTATATATGATAATACGATGTATTATGTCCATCGACATGAGAGTCAATTGGATTGAAAGTATGGATAGATGTAACATAAGTTTCATCCTCGTCACAGTAGAGCTCCATAATTGGCTTTATATGTTCTATAACTCTTCACTTCATAAGAAAAATGTAGAACTCGGTTACAACCACTAAAATTAATTATTTGATTCAATAAATATAGGTTTTAATCACACAAATTAGTAGCTTCATATAAACATAAGTTAAATAGATAATTTCCTAAGGAATCAACCAAGTCCATCCATACAATACAACATTGAATTGGTAAAAATAGATTTAAAGTGAAATTTAGCTTTAATCATCCATTAAAATAAGTTTCAATCTTTTAAAATTATAAACCCTTGAGAAAAAAAAATCTTCCAAATATACATCCCAACATCAAAAAAAATATCAAGCCAATTTTAGAAATAGAAAATAGAGTACAAAATACAAGGCACGTGGGACCTCTAATGATCACGTGAGTAAGAAGTGTCAAAAATGAAGGGAGGCATGTGATGTGTTGCACAAGACAAGGCAATTCAAAGAAATAGTTGTCCTTTGTCAGTCGTTTTAAGACCACGAAAACAGTGTCCCTTTCCTTAACCTCGACACTAATCTCAACCCACTTCCATTTTTATGATTTAATTCTAGCTTAATTTTATAATTAAAGCGACCTTCTTTTCTCTTTGTACGTTAATAATCAGTTGTCATACATTATAATTTTATTAATTATATCATTATTATAAGTTATTATTATGTTTATACCAACAATAAACAATAGTATCGGGAATATTTTGTATGCTGGTGGTTAGTTGTAGGAAATGTACGTACACCGTTAATTATGTTGCAATAATGCAATTTCCATTAATTTCTTGCTTTCAATTCAACTTTTCAAGTTGTGTTGCTTTGATTACAAGTATATTCTTCTTGTTCCTTCCTTGATTAATTGACTTGCCTTATAAATACCGGTGCCAATAATGTACGTTGTTTGAATTGATGTAAATGAATACGAAGTAACAGAAAAAATAAAATATATTACGAGTACATAATCTATATATTAAGTATGTATTTTATATGAAATCGATCTAACAACTAGCGCAACTATACTCCCGTGTGGCTTGCTATAATATATACATAGTATTTTATATTGTCGCCAACATTTTGCCATGTTTTGTGATAATTGGGAAACAATAGGTTAATATATGTAATGATGATGTGATTGTTGGATTATTGAAATTCAAGGCAAACAATGAAACACATATACTATTCCTTAACTTGATTATTTAATGCTTGATGAGCAAGTAGTATAAGCATCACTTAATCAACCATCAATCATATTTTCATGTCTAAAAGGCGAGTTCATCAATGTTCAATCATATGATTACATCTTGTAACTCAATCATTTAAAAATTTATCTCTGATTACACGTGGAGACCAAATAGTCGCATCATACAATCACAATATAGAAAGAATATAACTATTCCAAATACTTACTATATAATTCAATCACCTATAAAATCCTCAACTACTTTTGAGCATAAAATCACAAAAGTAGCATATATTCTTATCATTATCTTGGATGAATTAAATGAAAGAATATTAGTCAAATGATTAGTCATTAGTAGTGTGCATGCAACAACTAACCAACTAACGTAGGAAGAACACTAAATTTATGAATAATTTTACATCTTTCTAAATCGTATCAAAACCCTTTTTTACAAGATCATACTAACTTTCAAGATTCAACGAAAGATAAATAGTTTAAATTAGGGGGTTTGAATCTTAGCTACCTCCAAATTATATATTGAACATTTTTTGCTATATTAGTATGTAGTATGTTTTGGTGAGGACACGTGGACATGAAATTAGCAATTCACGATTTCCCACACCAAATCAGCCCACTAAAGAATTTCGTTGCTAGTCGTTATAATTAAAACGACCGACAATTAGTCACTAGCATTAGACTATATATTATACGATTAGAAACATTAATTATTATATTAATATAATTGCTTCACTTGATAAATTAGCTTATCCACTTAATAATCTGCCGCCAATCACATAATTACTTGTAGGTTTGTAACTTCCCACTCAGGTGTATGATGTTTCTAAGCAAGCGCGTTATATGTTCTCACTCTTCTTAGTTGTTCATATTTTGGGATCTTCATATTCATCATTATTATTTTAATATGTGAATCCACTTGAGTTTAGAGTTTTAAATTTTGTTTGTTATCGTTTTAGAAAGATTATATCAGTATAATAAATTTGGTGAAAATCGAGAATATTTAAAAAGATAGACATTTCGTTCTAGTTTAAAATATCAATTAAAAAATAGTAATACTGTTACAATTGACCAAAGTATTATGCAGGTAACTATACTTAAGGATTTTCCGTCCTTACAAAAAACGAGAAAGGAAAAAAAAAAAAGAGGCAAACAAAAATGACAATGCAAATTGATTGGTTTCATGCTCATACATGTTACATATTAAGCTTACCAACGTGACAATGTAGAGATGAGTTTAATAAATAATTAATCATATAAAACATCTTAGGTATTAATCCTCCATTAATGACTTGTCATGTTTCAGTGTGACCAAATAATGCAATTATTATGCAACTAACATGATCTATTAGTTACATTTGTACTTCCAAATAATTCAAATTAAATTTAGATTTGTTGCCGTTAACAAATTTACCTGACAATTCCGATCCAACCTGCTTGCATTGGATTGGAAAATGGAAGGAAAGGAATGGGAATATTCTAAGAAAACTACTCTTCAATTCCATTTGGAATTTTGCAATCTAATTTTTGTTGGTTTTATTTAAAGTTTCTACTATCATTGGAGTTGCATCTATGCTCACATTTACATGAAATTGTTGAGAAGATTATAGGAATGAGGCCCCTCAAAGAACAAGCTAAGAGCACTTTTTTTTTTTTTTTTTTTTGAAAACCACAAGCTAAGAGCACTTAATTTCAGCTATTTTGATAGATATTTGATCATTAAGGGTAGTATGGGCAATGTAACACCAAGAATAAATGTTGCAATAGACAAATCACAAACATCAGTCAAAGCGAATTAGATAAATATTACCAAAAAAAAAAAAAAAAACATTTCACTTATTTAAATACGGATGAAATATAAAGAGTAAATTTGCAAGTAAAGCGACTCGGCCACTGGGGTGCATCCAAATCAGTAGTGGGCCAGGTGAAAAAAACCGAGTATCAGTGAATCAACCTCTGCCTTGTTTACTCTTCCCTTTTCTTTCCTTTTTCCTTTACATTGGTGCGATCCTCTGTCTCTGACTATACCTTTGACATTTCTCATCCAATTTATTAATTACTCCAAATCACTAATTAATTAATAAATATTCCTTTAAACTTAATTAAAATAAATTAAGTCACAAACAAAATAATGAGACATTTGAAACAGGGCGGTGATGCCCCCACATGAGTCGGTCCAACACTATTACACCAATCTTCTCCTTACTCTATATATACCCCAAATATTAACTACTCAATCCTTTACAATTAAGATTCCTCTCTTCACTTCTCCATACATTTTTTTCTTCCTTTATTCTCGCCTTCATTTCTTATTATTATCGTTACTTCTACATTATACACTTCTATATAAAACTCTCATTTCATTTTATTCTATTCTTGTTCTTGAATTGAATTTTGATACTACTACTACGTACGATATTAATTCATTAGTTTTGTGTAATATACATGATGGATTCAATCAAGTTGTACACAATAGTGGTTTTATTCGTGTTGAGTGGTGAGTATGTGTCGGGTACCACGTTTACTTTTGTAAACAAATGTGACTATACTGTTTGGCCAGGGATACTAGCAGGAGCTAGTAGCCCTAAGTTAGATAGTACGGGGTTCGAGCTCCAAAACGGTGGGACTCGAACCTTTCAGGCTCCATCGGGTTGGTCGGGTCGGTTTTGGGGCCGGACTAACTGTAACTTCGATGGCGCAGGTCAAGGCACCTGCGCCACAGGAGATTGCGGGTCCGGAACCATGGAGTGTAACGGTAGCGGGGCTACCCCGCCCGCCACCCTAGCGGAATTCACCCTAAACGGGAGCGGCGGGCAAGACTTTTACGACGTGAGCCTAGTCGACGGCTACAACCTCCCTATGATCGTGGAATCGAACGGAGGATCAGGCGGGTGTCAAACAACGGGGTGTTTGGTTGACCTAAACAAGCGGTGCCCGAGCGAGCTTATGGCGGAAGGTGGCGGCGCGTGTAAGAGCGCGTGTGAGGCGTTCGGAACACCGGAATATTGTTGTAGCGGGGAATTTGGAACGCCTGACAAGTGTAAACCATCAATGTATTCAGAGGCATTTAAAAGCGCGTGTCCAAGAGCATACAGTTACGCATACGATGATGCAACTAGCACGTTTACTTGCAGTGGTGGGGATTATACCATCACCTTCTGTCCCTCTTCTCCAAGGTACCGCCTCCATCTCTCTTTTATTATTACTAACAACCTCGTTTAGTAAACAGTAATAAATCACCCGTGAAACAGTAATTCAGCTTTGGCTTAATTCGATCATTTAAATAAATGTTCTCCTAAAAAGAAAGATTAAAGGTGGAAAATGTTTAATCAATCTTAACACAAAGGTTCTTTCTAATTATCGGGCTAGCAAAACAAAAATTTACTGTTTTTTACTTTTTATCTAAAATATCTTACTAGGCTAAATTAGCTAAACCTACCTTTTGTTTGGATTTTTTTATTTATTTTTACGTATTTATTGTCTTTATTTTGAGGTGCACAAAAAAATATTACAAGGACTATTGAGCTAATAAAATTGCAATTTTTTTTTTCTTTTTGTTATGATGCAGTCAAAAATCGTCAATGGGTACTCCAACAAGTAACATGGGAGCAACACCCGGGACCGAGGCTGGACCTGTGGCCGGGGCCGTTACTGGTTCTGGCACGGACACGGGTATGGGTACAAATACGGGTACAGGGTCATTGATGGCGGATGGGTCATGGTTCGCGGGCTTGGCCTCTGGAGACTCTACAAATACAAGACATCCTAACTTTGGGTTACAATTAGCATTGCTATTCATTGTCATCACATCTTTGGCCACTTCACTATTTAACTTGTAGTTTCTCTCAATTAAGAAAGAGAGAAAGGTTGAGGAGATCATCTAATAGTTAGTTCATTCAAAGGCATTCGACATGGAAATATTATTTTTTTAATATCTGAGAGAATGACAATACGCTAACTTAGTTAGTAAAGTCTTTGAAAAATATATGGGATTCGATTTTATTTGGCCCTTTTTGATTCATTGAGAAATGAAAAGATGATGGCATACTCGACACAAGATAGATTTTCCGTGACACACTACTACAAAAATGGGCAAATTAAAGAGAACGATTGAAGCTACGGCGATTTTAGCTAATAGATGGATATGGCATTCCATTTAAATTTTATTCTTACGATGGTTGTAAAATATTTAGGCTATCATTGTATATTGTAATTTTATTTTTTTTAATCATTTGAGAAATTTTTAGTAGATCCCATTTTACAGCCTATTGATTCGTCCAAGATGAGATGCTTTAGGAGGAAGAAAAGTGAGGATGTTAAAGAAAAGATAGATCCATTTTGAGATATGTACGATTGCTCCCCTTTGTTTGTTTTAACTTATGAAAAGTATAGTTCAACAATAATATAAAGGAAATTGTTTTTTTTTTTTTTCTCAGTGTCAATTTGATTTTTCTAGCTATCTTTAGTGTAAATGGAAAATCAAACTTTGCAGTTGTATGGGGAAATATCCATATAACGGTAACGGTTATATTAATAGGCCGATATGGATTACAGGCCGATATACTATTTGAATCCGACCCATCAATAATTCTTGTTAATATCGGCATTTGTGTATAAAGAATACATATCGGCATGTAAGCAGCTGATACGTGTCACTCTCACGTTTGACACGTGGCAAAAACTACTTTGCCTATTAAGCTGCCACCCGTCACTTAATTAACCTATAAATAATCTAGTTTTACCTCATAAATAAGGTAACATTTATTACACTCTCTCTCTACTTTTCTCTCTAAATCTCTCTCTTCTTTCTATAAACACCTGCTAACTTAATCTTCGGAGTGGTTATCCCCGGATTCATCCCGGGGCCAGCTAATCTCTTCCCTGTGTGTAGGTTCTTGTTTGGCCGATAGGAGCATAACGGGTTATATACTCGAGCTTCGGATCTTGGAGTTGGGTTATCGGATTCCTGCAGAAACAACAATATTCATAATCTTTAATCGTGTCACCCTTTTACCATTCATTATAAAGTTCGCAATTTGGACGTATAGCTAATTTCAATTTGTAGTTACGAATAGATCTACATATACTCCGTACTATTTTTGTTCGAAACTATGTACTCCGTAGTATTTATCATGAAGATAATTTGTAACCGTTAATCCGAATAGAGTACTTGAACCCTCCCCAAAAGCGATCAAAGCTACTAACTTGGCTGCGAGCCGGCGAGGATCAAAGTCTTAAGGTGTAGCACTTGACCAGCTACAGATACAAATGAAAAATGAGGTTGGGAATCCTAGGGGTCCTTACAATATGTTTATACGTAGTTCTTTATAGTAATCACCCAAATAATGGGATTCAAGACATACTGAATCATATTAGCAATTATAGGAAATACAGATGTTTATAAAGGCTAGTGTTTTGCTAGAAATATAAAAGAAAGCAAAGGAGAATAACAATTATGAGGAAAGATACCCAAAAATAAAAAGTTAAATAAAGATAAAAAAGAAAGGATATTACAGTTATCTATAGAATCCTCACTTGTCTATAATTCGACCCGGACGATTTTGGGCAGCTCCGTGATAACAATCACATTAACAAAACTGACTATTATATTGTTTGTTAAACATGTAGTGTACAATAAACCCGATGTATACAAGTTATTGCTCACAAAATGGGAAAGGGGAGGGGAGAGGGGAAAGGAAAGAAATTGACCACTATATGAAGTACAACTCGTCGACTCAACAGTCTGCAAACTAAAGGTTGAGGTATTCTTTGTAGCATCATCTGCAAATGCAAGATCTTTACATTCCTGTATACACTAGCTTAAGTTGCTATCAGTTTCATCTCTTTTTCAAAGAATACAAATCTAAAAATTGATTAATAATGCTCCAATCATATAGATTAAAGGGAAGGGTACACGCAAAAATATCTTTTGCTAATTTCCAATGAACAATACTCTCTAGAAGCAGACAGCTCTAATCTGCTGGAAAGTCTTCAAATCCCCCGATTAACCAACTGAAATGGTTCCAATAAACTTCAAGCGCAAGTCATCTACTACCTGTCAAAACAGCTGAAATTAGCACAGCCCAGATTTTTTTTTTTTTTTTTTTTTTCGCGTGATATGCTACAAAAAGCATCATTTCCTTTCCACTACCAACGGTGCACAACCATAAGATTGTCAAGAAAACATTAACATTATAGAAATCATATAAATGATGTAATGTAATGATCTAACTCATTCAGCACATGCACATACTTCTATCGTTTTCACCAGTAACTGTAAACTGCTATTACTAATTTTGGCTTTTATAGGCTGGCTTGAACTTTATTCTCCTTATAATCCTCAATTAAAGCTCCTGCATCTTTATTTTCTTTTTATAAAATATATATAAGGTTTAGTGGAATCCTCAAAAACGCCTCACATTTTGGAATTGATATTGAAATTAGTGGTACTAATTTGTAAGTACTAACAACTTAATGCGTCCAAAACAAAGAGATAGATTTAGAACTACGAGTAGCTATTGATTGAAGTCTTTAAGTAAATCCATTTCAACTCAAATATAATTGGTGATTGTTTACAGGAAAAGGTTAGTTTTATGTCTCCGAACAGACTCCGAGGAAAAAAAATTGAAAAGCACACCAGCACTCAATACAACCTGGCTGCTATCTGGGATTATTAAGGGTCAACAGGAAAAGATACACAAATAATGACTGGTACTGAAGGATGCATGCATAAACAATAGTTTAGTCTGATTAACAAAAATATAGGTCCTGTAGCTGTCTTGATGAATGATTAAAAAGCTAAAGGAGTAAAAAGAGTCAAAAAGGTAACCTATCTTCACTAAAAGAGTGGGAAAAACATTAAACAAAAAGTGGAAATAGAAACAAATGACTCCAAATTGCTTCCAAAGCTTCCATAGAAAGATGCTCGTCCAGCTGAACTGAACGGTTCTTTACCTACTTAAAATGAATGCAGACACCACCAAGACTTAGAGCTAAAAAGAGGGAATCAAATGACTAACTTTTCCTATGAAGATAAAGAGATAGAAGAGATTCTCTCTTTCTATTTTATTTTTTTATCTTTATTTTGGCTTCTTAATTAAAGAAAACTATCACAGGTTAACAAGTAACAAATTCTAAATAAAAGCGGAAAATCGTAGCAACAGTAGAAATGAATCATAGGGACCAGGTCAGGTGGGTTTAGAATAGGATTTTTTGGGAAATTAAAGTAAATCCTTAAGATTATAACTCGTGCAATACGATGCCACTTGAATTCTTTTTTTGCTATTTTTCTAACATTATATCTAGTCGAGGATCACTTTTTCTTAATGGACGGACATATGCAAAGGCTTCTAGTGTGCAAAATTAAATGTTAAAGACAAGGAATATTCCAGGAAGTCAAAAGTTTTCAGGATACCACAATATTTAAATGGAAAGACAGATGAAAAACTAATGATTGCTCTCCTAACCTATTGGCAAACTTTAAGAACGGTGTTCAAGGACAGCCTTGATTAATAGTGGTGTATGGCATATAATGGGAGATGCTTAAGGACCACAGCTAAATAGACATACAGACTACTAACACTAAATTTCTAGAACTCTCTCACAAATGGGATGTCTTACTTTTACAAGGATCACTTACTAGCAATATGGCTGCAAAAACCAAGTACCAAGGTAAAGAGGATTGCTGATATCACTATAATATTAATGAAGCAGAACATTCTGAAGTGTAAAAAAACAAAGAGCACAGACAATTTGATCTAATAAAGCTTAAGGCTTCACCGTGAAATTTTGAGCAACAAGGGGTAGCAGTGATTCGCCTCATAATTGGGCCAGGATTGATCACCCTTCATAAGTTCCTGATGACGCATCCAGACCCTATCATCATATTTATCTGATATGCTGTAGTGCAAGCCACCCTCCGTTATCACCTCCAGAAATTTGTCCAATGAGTCACCCCTTTTGGGGCTGAAGAAAATAGCTTCAGAGGAACATGAATCTTTCAACAATAATTTCACAGTTCGAACCAAGCCTTTATGGAATTTCTTGAAAAATGTGCTGCCAAGACAACAAGATATAAATATATAAATTTGACCGATTCGAAAGATTACCCTTGTATATTTGTAAATGTAAAGCATACATTATGGTAGCATGTCAAGATTTTTTTAAAATGGTAACGAAGAGCACCTATACAGGAAAATTTTACTAGTTGTATAAGAACCCATTTGAAAAAATAATCACAGCCTCTGTTTCACATTATTTAGAAACATATTTCTAGTAAAATGATAAAGATTAAAAAATATATCATCTAGGGTATCAATCAAATCACATGACTTTCCTTGTAACAAAAAAAGAAACCATGCTTGAACTGCAAAATGTCATTCATGGAAAGACTCCAACTTTGCAAGAGAATAATATGCACTTTCCCAAAAAAGAATGTGGAATATTATCCAATTCTATCCACCTATATTGTGACAGATCCATCAGAAGACAAAAAATTACATACCAGTCGCTTGCAATCACAATGTCAAATTTATGGAATAATGTTTCAACCTCATCTTGATTCCAGTGCAATAATTTGGGAGTCACATTTGTACTCCCAAAAGCTTCAGGATTGGCAGCTATGCTCCGCTGAATATCTGCTTGTTAAGACATCGAGATTTAAAGATACTCAACAGAACCTTAGGTAGACATGGCATTGGATTCATAAAAGCCTTATATCATCTTCACACACACACACACACACACACACACAAAAAGAAAGAAAGAAAGAAAGAAAAAGAGTTCACCCTAAACAGAGCACACAGCAGTAGTAAATCATCAGTTTGAGAATCAATAGTAGCAGATAATATGCTAAGATGATCAGGTTTTCTCGTTAATCTATCCTACTATTGAGCAAGCTAGCTAGATGTTGTTTGTTTAATGAAAAATCCAAAACTGAGTTAAGAAAATATTGAAATGCGATGAACTGATGTAGAGGGGCATATTAGGTAGTGCAATACAATTCGGTTAGTACTTAGTAGTGCTTTGAGGAGGAAGATAAGGGAGTTAGAAGAGTAAACTGCAAATAAGAGAATACGAATGGAATTAGCTGGTGAAATATTGATTTGAGCAAATTTGGGAAAGCTTAGTAAGGTAATTAAGGGGAGAATACACCAAGCACGAGTGGAATGTTCATTCATATTTGCTGTAATTCATTTCATTAATCAAAAGTATCTTCTACTTCCCTAGTTTCTGTCGTTAATGATGTCTAAGCTTGCTAAATCATAGCATGAAGCTTAACTCAGAAGTCAGAAGAGCTCCATATAGGTTACAACTTATTAGTAATTACAACCTCCAAGTCATTAGAAACCTACAATTATTTTAATGTCAAAATAGTCATAAAAAATAATCAAAACATGGATGGATCAATATAGGAACTACATAAACACCTACTGACTAGAAAGTAACAGTGGATGCCCATGGGCCATAAATAAGTTCATTAGAAGGATACAATCAATTACTTGTGGATTTCCATCTGATATCACAACTTCAGATGCCTCAGAGGCAGCAGCAATAACTAGACCTGCTAAACCATATCCTGCGCCTAACTCGATAACTGATTTTGATCTGAAAATAATAAAAGACCACAATTACATAATCTACTGCATGATTATAAGGTTTAGAACAAGTTTAGCTGCCATTATAAAGCATATTCGTCGGCAAAGTTTCTGCAGAACAGTATATAGGATAGGAAGGAAGAAATTAGATACCTGAACATGTCTGCATGAGACAAGCAAAAATATGAAAGGACTTCCTCTGAAGGCCATGGACCTGAACACAAAATTGGCAAGAATGTAAATACAACTAAAACATGGATAATAAATAATCAACCTGAAAAACAATAGCATTAAACATTTAAGTACAGGCAAACAAATGATAATCTGTAAAATGCAAATTAAACAATGCCATGCAAGTAAAACTAGAGAAATAACTATGGAAAATGCAAGTTTCATAAATACAAGCTGAACGAGAATTGGATACACATAACTTGAACAAATTCCACCAGGTAACTGGTTAAGATTTTCAATATTCCAGCTCTTTATTACAATGGAGAGTACTGGCATTTTCTTCAAGGAAATAGAAATTTATCAGAAGATATTCACACAATCTACAACAAGTTGCATGGAAGTCCTAGCTAAGTTACAGAGTCATAGGGGCGTTACTTATGCAAGTCAGTTCCAACTTCCAAATTTAAAACAATCCTAACCATAATGAATTGAATAATAAGAAGGTTTATTCACCATCTCATCCTGGAGGTTTTTTTATATGACAAAATGCCTCATTATACTCAGATGAAACTTTAACCTGATCAAAGCTTACTTTTTACTCTCAACTTCAAACATATAAGATAGGTACAAACAGGGGTCCACCTCATCATCCATGACACATGCAATTAGAGCAACACCTAGCCTCGGACAAACACTAGCTAGCTGTAGAAAGCAAACACAATTAAGCAAAGAATGAACAAGACATTAATAATTATGATGACTTACAAACAACACCAGTGTTATCAATGTCATACTTGTTGCAGATCTCAAAATCACTGATACTAGCACAGTTGTCCCTCCTTTGACTGTCAAATTGAAATTAACATTTATCAAGCTCATACAACACAAAGTTTGCATACGGAATGCAATGCCTTCATCATACAAAGAGCTCAGACAACAGCTCTAAGAGTAAATGATACTTCGTAATTTCGTATGACATAGTCATTTAGCATTTTAGCCTCATGAGTCATGCACTCATGCCTAACGAGCAACTGCTAGCTAACCAAGCACCCGCTATTTTGTGTCATTAAATCTGCTGAGTAGCGAATGAATCAATGCATTTTCAAGGTCATCTCAGCAAAATTATAAGAATTTACATAAAATGGCACAAATAACAGGTATGAAACACAATTTGCAGCCTAATTTTGTTATTAGTCCAAAAGTCTCTCACTGTACAAATTCACACACAACAATTCATACGTTTCGGGTAGCATTTTGTGGGGCATTAGCGAATTCGAAAACAAACACGACTGCTATACATCCAACTGTTTCATCATCAAACATTACAAAAATGTTTCTTCATCAACAAACACAACCCCAAATCATTTCAACATAATAGCATCAAACAGAATAAAGGGTACAAAAATACTTAATTACAGCAAAAATTGAAAGTGGGAAAAATTAAAAACTCACAAAAGAGAGAGATTATGATTAATATTGTTTGAAATGGGCAAAGAGTAACAATAGCAAGCATCCATTGTTAAACCCTCAACCTCAGAATTATCGCTGGAAATTGGGTGAAGATGACATGGGATCAAATTAAAGCTTTGATTTCCTTTCCCTTTTCTCGAAATGCGATTAATTATTTCTTGTGATTCAGATTTTTCGTCTGCAAAATTTCAATGAAATTTAGTACAAATTGAATAAAATTACAGCTATTACAAGCAGAAATTATGCAATAGAGAAAGAGAATAGTACCAGATTGAGAAGGAGAACGAGAAAGAAGGGCATTACGAAGAATTTTCCATCTGAGAGTGGAAGGTTTGGGAACTTGATCATTGCATTCTTCCATTGTTCTTGATTTCTGTTTTCTCTCTCCTCTGTTTCTTAGAACTAACCCCAGTTTTTTTTTTTTTTTTTAACCTCAAAATTATTATTATTATTATTTTTTTTTTTAACAAAAATCTCGAAATTATTTGGGATGTTATTGCAAACAAATTTACTGTATTAAAATTTTAATCGATCTTTCTTTAAAAAAATAAAAAGAAAGGGAAATACAAATTATGTTGATTATGTGTTTTTAGGTGTCACGAATTTGACTTTGTTGGTTGTAAATCAACAATTAGGGTTTAATTTGGATTTGCTAGATTATAAACACAGGATTACAGGAGCATGATGTTTGCCATGCTGTGAAAATTGAATTTAATTTGCTGTTATGTAATGCGGAAATTTATGGAAAGAAGGTAAAAATTGGAGAGCCAAGAATCGAAATTACAAATATACAAATAGATTACAAGATTCTAATGGATTAATGTGGAGTCTTACTTGTATAAGTGATGTAAGTTTGCGCAAATGTAATTAAATTGTGGCTTTAAAAAACATAATAAAAATAAATAAATAAATAAATAAATAAATAAAAAATGTCAATATATTCAATACAATTTCAAAAATGTGGGTTATATTTGAGGACACTCCATCAAACTTGCTCAATTAATAAGAGTAAAAAAAAATCAGTTTGCAGGAATTTCCTCAATCAAAATTCAAAACCAGTATCTAGCACAAAAAAAACACAAACCAATACGTACATTTGTTGATGAGTGGCCTCTCAGCCCATAATTCATTACTTGAGAGTATACCTTCAATGCGAAGATATTGCATGTTTCTGGTTTCTAGAAAATGTTCTGTAGGAACATACGATGGTTGTATCCTGTTATCCATCCCAAACATCTAGAGCACAGCAGAGGTAAGCTTGATGCCTGGTAACTTCATCAGCATTTCAATATCCCCAGCATCGTTCCAACCAAGCCTTACTAGCTAGCAGCTATTACCCACACATTTGATCAAAGTTGTTGACGGTGCCAAATACATAAATCACCAATCTCAAGAAGGCCCATGAGTAAACTGACATCTGGTAGACAGACTGATTCATCGGGAACTTTCTTTTGATTTGGAGGAGGGGTATGACTCAGATGAGGTAAGGAAATTAATATCTGAGATTAAATCCTAGAGGAGAGCCAACACACAACTCTTCCTTTCAAGCGAGGGAAACCGCAATGTGTTCCTTGCTCGTGAAATCTGTGACCTGGATAACTTATTCTGGAACAATGATTGATTCCGACTGTAAAAGTAGGAGATATATTACAGCATCAATGATAATATCTCCAATTTCCCAGGGGATTTTCCACATTCTTTTGATGACGCCAATCACATGTCTATGACTGTCTTAACCCTCAGGGTTTACCTTCAGGAACCACCAGTCACAAGGGCAACTTAGTGAATTTGGCAACAAATAACCCGCTAGTTTGGGATGTTACCGGATCAAATCTCAACGTCTTAGCTACCCGACCAATCTTGCATGGCCAAGTGTTAAAACCATCTATTTCTTGCAGCTCTGCAAAGATAACAAAGCTTTGCGTTTACATGCATTTCAAAAGAACCGAAAGTACACTGACGTTAACACACGGCATTAAAGGACTCTTCCATACATGCCAAACAAAAGGTTTGTGCAAATGACAGTTTGGAGTAACTTGGAGAAATGTTTCTTCTCTTTTACCCATTTTAAATCTCTTCTCAATTCCTTAAAATATATATATATATATATATATATATATATATATATATATATACACGACTACATGGCACCCTTGCCTGCCTGGCGTTCTCAAGCATGCATGCATTACAAGAAAGTACAAATATATGAATGGCAGAAACTAGCAATATATACTCACCAGCTGATGAATTATCCAACAGGAACCTCTCAATCACTTCTTCATTTTGGGCAACTGTCAAGCTATACAGCAAGAAAAAGAATCAAATACAGATGCACAATTAGCCTTTCATAGTCCCAAGGAATATCAATCAAAAGCATATTGGACTAAGATACCTGCAAGTGCTGTAGATAAGTGAGCCCCCAGCTTTAAGCAATCGGAAACCATTACACAGAAGTCGAAACTGGGAATAGAGAAAAGGCCCAAAAGGGAGACGTTAAAGATTAAACAAAGGATGGTAGCAATAGGCCTCGACACAATAAATCCAGGCAACAAATAACGTATAGGCGTATAGCTAAACATATTTTTAAAATAAAGAGAAAAAAAGAAAAGAAAAACTTCCATCATTCTCAGCAACAATAACTGCTGTCAGCAAATTAAGGGAGAACTAAAAAGGGCAGAACAAGCTATGAAGTATAAGACAAGGGTTGAGTACAATTTTATTTCAATACAACATAGCATCAAACTAATCCAAGACGGATGGATGCTAGTGTTTTCTACTTCATAAAACAGGACTCAAAACTTCACTTTATGTATCCTAGCCAATAAACTAATTAGATCATCAGAGGCAATCTGCGAATCCACTGACAAGAGGAGAGGCACGAGACAGGAAGGAAAAATCATAATCTCCGCCAAAATTCTATTACAATTGTATATAGCACCATAATCAAGGGATCTCAATAAAACTTCCCAAATTCAATAACCAAAGGTTCATCAAGACCACTCAAATTCAGGGCAGGAATACAAAATTTCTCTCCATGAAGGAGTTTACTCAGGAACAATACCCAGATCCACTCTTACCAAATCTTTAGCAGGTGAGCAACTGGGCGTAGTGGGACTTGGGCCTGGGGTTCAAGCATTATCTACTGCTCTCAAGATTCTCCAAAATATTGGTTTGAATCTGAATTTCATAGGAAGCTCTTTTTTAAGAGTCATGATGGCCAAATCAACATTTTTACAGAAATTAAAAACCTATAGATATATTTTTTGCCCCGAGTCCTGGCCATTATAAAAAGACATACATGAACACTTCATCAAAAAACTACAAAATAGCAAATACAGGTATATGACTGTATGAGAATCTAAAGCCATTATATTGAGCACAATAACCAGCATATTTGATACACACAACGATACACACAACTTTCAATAAGCTGACATCCAAAAATATCAAACTGCAAATAATAGCATATAAATTGTATGGTGATTACTTGGAGATTTGTAAGGTCATCGGTTCTCTCTGCATCTAGCACACGGCGTTGAAGTGTTTGCCAGCCCCAATTTTCAAATTTCTGAACATGCCTGATTGATCCATCATGAGTGCATTCAGCATCTACTAGGACCTGGTATCGTAGAATTAAAACATTTTAAGCATGAAGAACCAGTACAGCCAAGAACCAAGAAGATTATTATGAAAACGTTAACAATAAAATAAGGAGAGCTAACAGTGGCTTCACATGCATCTGGGAAAATATGCAAATCCAAAAGACCAAACACATAAGATGATAAGAATCATGATGATATCAAACATGTAAGCAAAATCAAGGCATGGGCAAAAACAGAACAGATTTTGATGGTGTTGAACACAAGCAACGGAAATCCAGAAGAAAAAAAAACTTCATGAAATCTAAAAAATAAGCAAAAATCAAGAAACACGGCATAGAGATTGAATAGCGTATTTGTGCGTGCGCGCTTACACATATACAAAACCTCAAGAATAGATATCTGGTCTCTGATGTAGGTAACACTTCTTTAAAACCAAAAAAAGAGGAGTCAAAGTTGAAATTGTTTTAAATGGGCAAGTTTCCAGCTCTGGGGTTCCAGCAGATAAAATTTCATAACTATTCTTCATCTCTAATTTGCTACTCTCTCTAAGACTCTAATCTTTTAAGTTGTTCCCATTTCACTCTAACACGTTTGTCAATGTACATTTTAAATTGTTAATATCTCTAATTACATGTTAGCAAAAATTTATAGTTTAATATCTAGAAATACTCATCAAGACAAATCAAACAAGACCCCCACTTGACCATTTTTTCCTTATACATTGGAAGAATTTAGAAATTTTGCTAAATTCCAAATGGGAATTTAGAGATATCTAGAAGTTGTGAATAGTGTCTAAATTCCAAATGGGAAGAAAATTTAAGATAGAAGTATGTAGTAGTAGGCCAGTCAAATGAGTCAATACCAAGGAGGAAGCCTCATTAGAGACATAGGAATTCGCATATTGATATGGTACAAAATAACATCAAAACCAAAAAATGAGTATAATTTATAAAGCAAAAGAGGAAACCGAGCCAAATATATTAGGAAAATATGGACACAGACAGGGGAGAGGGAAAACTGAATGAGTGGCATTGTGATCACTATTGGTCTCTAGGCATTAAGGAAATTCTTGAATCCTATACTATTATGCTGAACACTCACTGAGAAAGGAACCATGAATAAGGCAAATACAAATTGTAGACCTGACCAATGATACAGGTAAAAAGATATCCCACAGCCAGAATTTTTTATGGTAACAATAAACTATGATCTAATCCAAAACAGTTCCTAACATGTCTAGACAACTACAGTAGATCATAATTTTAAATCCTAATAACTAATAAGAACATTCATCAAACATCAAAGTTCTATGGGAAGCACACCCAAAACAAAAACACTTGAAATAAACTTTTAACCACAATGGTAATGTAATCACATTTTACCAGCAATGAGATTAGCAAAAAGAATTAAAAAGCTTACACAGAACATTTATCAGCAGTTAAAAATGCCAGACAAACCACAAATGGGACTCGGAATGAGACAAGACAATAAGAATACCTTGTCATAACCGCAAGCATAAAGCTCATCATCATTTACAGTCTGGTATAATTCATCTCTTGTACAGCCAATGACTCCTGAATGCTTCCCATAGAATATAAGTTCTGGTTCTAAGATCTGTAATGGGCTAACTTCCCTTGCTTTTGCTGCACGTTTCCTTTCCTTCCAAGGCCGCTTAGAAGTCCACTCCTTAAATACATCTACTTTCTTTTCCAAAGTAGAACCATTAGCTGAGTACACGAGAAAGAGCTAATTCAGACACAACTTCCACTAGTAATACCAACTAATCAAGGAATGCAAGCACCATATTCCTACACTTACATAATTTAGAAGCAGCAGAGTCTCGGAAGGGAATCAAAGAGAATGATGTGCCATCAGCAACCAAGAGCCGACATCGATCACCGAGAGCATATTTCTGCACCATAGTTCTGCAAGCTGCCAGACGGTGTCTAGCAACATCGACACCAGTAGCAGAACCAGAATCACCAAGAATATCTAATATCATACAAAGTTTTGCACCTGCCAACCAAAGTCATATATAGACAGGTTTGAGCAATTACTCTCAGGACTCTGACAGATGTACGATAAATATGTATCTCTCAGATTATGATATACTATCACATGGAGAGATATATCATATAGTAGCTTCTTAAGATATCAACAACTTTGAATGCCAATATTTCCCTCTCTAACATACACGAAGTATAAAATCAGATTCAAGAAATTGTAATTCCATATACATCAAAGAAATTAACCATCACCATCGAAGTTACTGTAGCATGATATAGCTACACAATCCTGATAATTTAACACAAACAAAAACAAGTGCTTTCAAATATATACTAAACCTTACATCACAAAACTACCTAAAAGTTTATCTAAAACTCTAGAAGGATGAAGCAGTTTATGTTACTAATACAATATTATCTCCTATCTTAGATAAAACTGTAAATAATTGATACTTTCTCCGTTTTCTTTTACTTGCAACACTTCCCTAAAAAGGAAATGTCACCATACTTGCAACACACTATAAAAGGAAAGTTACTTTAGGAAAAAACTATACTATTTCCCTTATTTAAAGCACATGGCCCACTAAATTACACTCCTAACAACCACTCATCCTATTTTAAAGTTTATTATATCATGTAAACCCCACCTTTCTTAATTACCGCGCTAAAGGGTGTGTTGCATCTAAAAGAAAACGGAGGAAGTACTTATATTAGAAGCAGAACATTTTTATGGCTATGGTGCTACAAGATGATAAGCCATTGTCTGCTAGCAACTTGAAACAATACATGACAAGATACACTATTGTAATTATGAAGGGAAAATGCAAGTACCTGGAGCAGCACATAGATCAAGAACATGGTCTCCCGGAGCTATGTTCAAAGCCTGGACAGCAGCTCCTGAAGCAGCATCGATTCCATAAACCTTAAATACAAACAAAAGCATGTTTTCAAACACTTGTGCAAGCAGCCAATAAAGGACAATCAAAGTTATAGAGCCTCACATTGAACATAGATAAACAAGACAAAAAAATAGCCAAATTAAAAATTAAGGACAATCTGGTGCTATGATGAAAGGAGAGAAGAATACCAGAAAATTTATTGCAGTAGCAATAATACTTGCACAGAGTACTTCCTCCATTTTGAAAAAAATAAAAAAAAAAAAAAAATAAAATAAAAAATATATATATATATATGTGTACAATTTTTGGGAAGTTGTCCATTAAATGCATGCTTTATTCACCTTTTGCTTGTGTGCACACGCAAAATACCCTAATTATCCTTGTTCACATGTGATAACAAGTTAACAACCATTACTACCCCACCTCTTCTCTCTCTCATCTGTTTGTATCATCACACGGGCAAATTTGACCTTCTCCATATATTACTCTTTTTTCTAAAATCTTGTGCCCATAACAAATGGTGCGATTTAAAAAATAAATAAATAAAAATGGAAGAAGTATAATCTAGTGCATTAAAGGCTGGTTATATGAAACACAGTCTGGCAATGTGCAATATATGGAACAAGAAAGTAAATGTCTTTATATAATAGAAGAGAGGAGGGGGACGACCTAAACATAGTCACTTACCATCTACACTCTACAGAATTCAACCCATCACACGTTCACTTGCCAAATACCATTGATTGATAGCCAGTTAAAATTTTCTCAAAACCTTGATAATTGTCATAAACAAAAGTGAGATTTATAGCAACCATTTCTTCCTCACTCTCTCACCAAGCCACAGAAGCACAAAAAGTTTTCTGCTTAGCTTTACACACTATTAATGCCCTGATTTTTACTCATCCAGCAAATTTACACAGCCATTCTTCCTTTGGTGGATAAGATATACTTCATACAAATTTGTTTGACGAATAACGAATAAAATATCACGACTCATGAGAAGCAACTAGTAAGATATTTGTATCTTACTTGCAAATAAATCAAGTAAAATCAACTTGTCTATTGAAACAACCTCTTTACCTTCACAGGGTTGACCAAGTTAGAAGAACATACTTAAGTTAGAAGAACATACTTCTAATTGTAACCTATTCTAAATAGGAGATTCAATTAGGTATATGAGTGATAGAATGAGGCAACATGGTATATAGCCAGGAACAATTAATACATAATACACTCAAGGAGACAAGGCAATAGGGACGCACCAAAGCATAATACAGAAAACACCAAATGCTGCCATTCTTATCCTTTTATTGCTAACAATTGTTCGTTTCCAATGATCAAAAGTTAACAGAAAGCCCACAATAAACTACTTCTCAACAAACAAAGATGCCAATTAGTAAAGTGCTCAAAATGTACAGCTATAGTACCCATATATCCAATTCAAGTTCCCCTAAACTATATACTAAAATGATTTCCTAACAAGTAAAGGCTGAATATATTAAGAAATAACATAAATTGCTATTGCTATTATAAATCAACCATAATACTCAAAAAAAAAAAAAAAAAAAAAAAAAAGGGTGTTCTTCATTTTACCTTGCCTTCTTGGTAAGCCTTTGAATTGGCAATCTGAACATCAGGTGGGAGAGAATAAAAGCTTGGCAACCAACCCACTTCATTCAATTTGCATTGAAGCTCATCTTCAATCTCTCCGATTTTCGCCTCGCATCCCGGCTTCAACCTGTTACAATCAGATAGAATCATATCATAATTTAAGTATCCGATGATTATATGATCAATAATTCAGAATTGAAATGAAATTTAGAGAAAATCAAAAGAGGGGAAATTTTGGATGAAGAATACCTAATGTAGCGAGGGAGACAATCGGTGGAAGTGTAAATTGAAGGGTCTAATCCATTATCATTGAGGAATTTGATGAATGCATCTGGAAGTGGTGAATTCGAAGTTGTATTCATCGTTTGAATTGAAGAGAGATGGTGAGAAAACTAGGGTTTCACAACATTTTTAGCGGGAAGATTGAACCAGTAATTTTCCAGAATTCCTAAATTTCAAGGTTAGGGTTGTATATGAGAAGAAAGTCAATGAACTCTTTTCTGTTGAGCTTAGTTTTAGTTCATTTCAATTTAACTTCAATTGATTCTTAATTTTCTTCTCTCATAAACAGTTCTATTCATTTCAATCCCAATCACTTCAACTGTTTTAAGTGAATCAATTGGAACAGGCCCTAAAATTACAGGTTTTTTTTTGGGTGAGAAAAGGCTAGGTTAGCGGTTAGTCCTTTTGATTGGAATACCTAAAGCATCCTTTTGGATGATGAAGGAGAAGGGAGACGCAAAATAATAAAAGGGCTAAAATAGAGTGTCATGGTGGTGTCCTTGCTTTGTCATGTAGTGCGTCGTCATATTCGTCTCCCTGCAACTATGGTAATGGAGTAAGAATCGAAAGTGTTCAAATCCACTTAAATGTCACAGTCCCATGGGATTTGTCATGTCCTCTTAGGGGGCGTTTGGTTCAAACAATGGTATAGGTTTGGAATGAGGAATGAAATCTGGGTGGTATGAGGTTGGAACTTGATACTTGATTTCATGCGTTTGGTTTTTATCTAGGAATGATAGTTTTCCTTTTAATTTTAAACTAAAGGTATGGGTAAGACCGTATGAGCCATACCCACCTCCCCTCTTGGGTTTCAAAAACTCATACCTTGGGGGTTTGAAATATGGGTTTGAAAATGAAATTTCTAGAAACAAACATAAGGTATAGGTTTTGGTCATTCCAAACTCATACCTTATACCTAATATGCTTGAACCAAACACCTCCTTAAGGCATTTATGAGTGCAAGATGGTCACCTTCTATTATTAGATTATGATTACCTAAGATTTTAGCTCCTTTTAAGTCTTCTCTTAGGCCCATCGCTTCTGCTTAAATAATTGATGTGTTTGGGTGCAGAGCCTTTTGCCCCTGCAAAAATACGATATCTATTATGAACCATTAAAGTTATTTTTGAACCTATTCTTGAACCATTAAAGTTTAACTTGTGGAAATTTATTGGAGGGGACCAAATTGTTTGAGTTGTATTACAATTTTGATTTGTCTTAGACTTTGAAGATTTACGAGGTTATCTTCGTTGCTTATATCGATATTATTGATTGGCTCATTTAAGATTAATGAATTTCTAATGTACCAAATGAACCACCATGCTATAAAAATATTTTCAATCCTCTATATTGGGTCTGTTACCAAGTATTTTGGATAGAATTTAACGGCTGAATTTACAAACTAACCCTTGATATAAACAAGTTTTATTTATACTAGGTTAGTTCCCGTGCCATGAACGGTAATTTTCAATAACTATTATTAATAATTTATCATTATAATTAATTTTTTATAAATAAAACACTTTTTTTTGACGAGATATAAATAAAAAACTTTTAAATAAAGATATTGTTGTCGAATTTTGATAAAAATATGGAATTCAAAAGGTATGTGTGTGTGTGGGGGGGGGGAATTCAAAAGGCATGATACATACTACCTCCGTTACATATTATTTGCAACGATTAGACATTTTTCCTCTATATTTTATGTCAAATCGTTGCAAATAATATGTAACGGAGGTAGTATAAGATGATGTATTATAAATCAAAGATATGATTACTGTAAAATAATATTTAATAATTAAAATGAAAAATAAATTTCATTAGTTTATGTAAGGAAAAAATGTGTTAATTGATAGGAAGATTAATAAAGTAAAATAAAATACAGAGTAATTAAACAAATAAAATAGATCATCACTATTTTTTTTATTATTTTTTTGTGTGGAAAGAATTATCATTAATTTTTTTTTTATGTCTATTTAATATTATATTCTAACTTTTGTACTAAGGATGTGATGTTAAACAAATTATTTTAATAAGAGAATGAAAAAAAAGAGATTTAAAACGAAATAGTGATATGTGTCATTTTTAAAATTAAGTCTAGTATATTTATAAATTGATAAATTATTGATTATTGACTAATTATAATTATTGTGAATATAGATTATCGAACAGATAATAGAAATATGTGTTGTTAATTTTCTATAAGCATTGATTTGTTATACGAATACCTTCTTGTAGTAAAATAATGGATTTCAACCCATAATTGTAAATTTTTTATAAGAAAAAAAAAATGAATAGTAGAATATATTGTACATTATTATGTTAAGAATGATTTTTGTAATAACTATAAATATTTGTCAAATCTTTTTATCTTATTATATTGTATAAGATTAGGGGATTATTTTAATAAATATAGATATTTGTGTTAAACATATGTCAAATCTTTTAAATTTAAATAATTATATTGTATAAGATTAGGAATTGTTTTTGTATAAGGTTTATTTTCTAAATAGAAATTTATTCAAAAAAAATAAAATAAAAACTAAGGACACTCTATGAGATGACATTTGTCATTGCTGGTGTGTCTTTTAGTATATAGTTATTTAAAAAAAAAAAAAAAAATAGACTATGTATTTGGACATATAAGAGGTAGGTGGGTAAGATAACAATATTAAATTTATGACCAAATCACAAATATCTTGTTTGTTCTAATTGACATTTATTGTCGATGACACCAGATCTTTTGGATAATAACATTATTGATTTGGGCAAATATTCTTTATTCATTTTTGTGTTGATTGCATCTCTTTTTCCCTTAAAACAATACAATAATGGTTGTACAAAATAACAGTAATTGTTAGATTAGTTGTTCTTCTTGTTGAAAAGTTGACATATATCAACTCTTCTTGATAAGATAACCATTTTTAGAAAGAAATCATGACTTTTAAAATTATATTCACCCATTTCTCTACCATAATTTAATTCCTATTTTATTGTGATTATATGATTTTATAAGCTATTTATAGCTACAATTGTTTAATTAGAATTACAATAATGTCTGCTCAAAACCCAAGGTTTATGACCTTTTATCAGTTAGCTACATACCCACCAAAAAAACAACAGGTATAACTAATACTATGGGCGCTGTTTCTTCAATATTTCCAAGGTTAATTTCTGTAACACTTATTATATGTTTCCTCTCAAATCGCTATTCATATCATTACAACTAATTTTGTAATTTTGTTTCTTCAATATGGGAAGTTCATTGTATATTTCATCTGTATTTGTTTTCTGGGTTTTGTTTTTCTATCCTGTTTGTAGATCGGAAAATCTGCAATTGGTCACCGTTGATGTCCATGCTGCTAATGATCTCATTCGTTCAGGTCATCGCTATCTCGATGTCAGGTGATTACTCTTTCTATCCCACTAAGTTTATTTTCAAATCAATTGAAGCTTATAAAATAATTGAAGGGTATAGCCGTATAGATATAGAACAATTTTAGCGAGACGAATAGAGTATATTTTTGCAAAGAGAGTAATGGGTTATGGTGTTATACTTGGGGGGACCTTTCACCGAGGCTATTGGGGTCTTGCCCCTGGTAAATTATTGTAATTTATTAGTTAATAAACTTGAAAAATCTTATTTTACTTATAAAATATTGGAATATAGTGACTAGTTTAAAGCGATAGCAAAAGATTCAAATCCCAGTCCCTTTAATTTTTCGGTCAAAATCCGCCACTGGTTATGCTATAGGTAGCTTTAATAGTTACACATAAACATTAGATACAGAGTATTTCAATTTCGATACTGAGTACAGAAATATTAATTTTGAAACTTATTAGGACCAAAATTACGTGTTGATGAATGTGATTAATGTTTCTATTTACTAGGTATTATTAGCTTCTTGTATACTCCCTTTATTTTTTTTCTTCCCATTAAGATTTTTAAATGTGATTGGATAAAAAAGTTGTGAGTAATTTTGTTTTTGGTAGCTTAATTATGAGGGAATATGGTGTAACAGGACACCTGAAGAATTTAACAGAGGACATGTTGATGTAGAAAATTGTGTGAACATTCCTTACTTCTTCTTTAACCCTGCAGGTTGGCAAATTTTCCTCTTACTATCTTATTAAATCACTGAAAACTGAATGGGTGACGCGATTTTTTTGAATGTTTTGATTTTCCAGGACGAGTAAAAAACACCAAGTTTTTGGAGCAAGTTTCAGCGGTTTGTAGCAAGGATGATCATATCGTTGTGGTACATTTTATCACCATACTTGTTACTAAAATTCAGCATAAAAGATTCGATTTGAAATTTTATAATTCACCACTATTTACACAATTTAGTACAGTACCAACGGAGATTAGTCACTAATTAATTTAATAGAATTTCTCTCTTGACCTCGCCTTTCCTTCACATGACCATAATTTTGATACATGTGACATTTTAGTGTACAATAGACATGTTGCTTAACTTGCGCATTATTTTTATTTTGTCATTTTGGTAAATAACATGTTCCGTTATTTATATTTGAAGGGTTGTCAAAGTGGAGTCAGATCCGGCTATGCTACCACTGATCTTCTTAAGGCCGTGAGTTTCTTTTCACCCTCTTTTATCCTTTTTTTATTCATCAGTAAAACATTAGGTTCAATTCCATTTGCATTGCTAGTCTTTATGATAATTAGTGAATATGTTTATTAACATAAATCTGACAATATCATGTCTTATTAACCTTCATATGAGATTATTTTTTTAAAAAAAAAAAAAAAAAAAAAAAAAAAAAAACTTCATATGAAACTAATGAAAAGAAATGATGCAGGGTTACAAACATGTAAGCAATATGGAAGGCGGATATGCTTCCTGGGTGGAGAATGAGTTGTCTGTGAAAAAATCAGATGATGCAGAGTTGTAAATTTTCAGCAATTTTGTTTAAATAATCGCCAAAACAAATTAAATTTGTGTTTTGTACTCTTTTTCTCTTTTTATTTATCCGAATTTAGTTACTCCATATCATATTACATTTTATTCCCTATGTTTCTTAGTGTTTTTCAGGGTTTAATTTCTTTGGCTCTAATAAGCACATTAAGCATTAGTGCATTTAAAAATGCATATGTAATCCTTATAAAATTAAATGCATACCTTAGCTCTCATTTCAAACAATTGGTAATTAAATGGATAATTGATTTCAGGCCTGTTCAATTCAGTTTAATTTTAGTTTAGTTCAATTTAGTTAAGTTATGTTCAGCAAATATGAACAGACCCTTCATTTCCACCACATCTACACATGCTCTAAAGAACAATAGTTAATGTGAGGTGAATTTTTCATTTATATCAAGTAACGAGACAAGAGAGGAAAAAAAATAAATAAAAATAAAAACCAAACATCTAGCAAAATCAAACAAGATCCACATGAATTAGTTTAGGGATTGTTTGACATCATTTTTTGTTTTTTGTTTCCTGTTTTTTTTTAAAAAAAAACTAAAACCAAAAACAAAAAACAAGAAAAAGGTGTTTCCACTTTTTTGTTGTCAGTTTTCAAAATTATTATGATTTTAATAAGTTTAAATAATTTTTGATTTATTATGTGACATATATCATATACTTTTATACAACAAAAAAACCAAAAACCAAAAAACAGAAAACCACAGCAATGTCAAACGAAGCCTTAGTTATTTATTTTTCTTCAAATATTTATTGTTAGAATACTTTTTTTTTTTTGAATAGCTATTTCATTTTACTTGAAACATATGAAAATACCATTATAGCAGATATTTTAAGGAAGAATTTTATGAGTGTAAACGATCAAATTAATCAAAATAATTTTAATATCGATAGCTTTTAATTTCTATCTTGCTTGTATTTTAAATATTTTTTCGATTGTTTTATTCAATTATTACATCCTCAACTTCTCTCTTAAAATGTGTGTCAAAATTTTATTTTGCTAGTAATATGAAATCGAGGAAGTATATTTTATTTGCTTTGGAATTGAATTTACCATGTCTTTACACTTGAACATTTCCAACTCAAAAATCCAACGAAATATATATGGTACTATATGGTACTCCGTTTGTATAAGTATAGTTAATATGTCATATTCTTTGGAGATGAATTGAAGTAAATTGCATTTATATATTTAAGTTAGAGTACTAATAATGATGACGAACTTAACTAAAAAAATACTTAAAATAAGAGGGCGTTCAAATAGTATCCCTATAAGTAAAATGTAGGTACATTATAGTATATATGGTACCACAGTACGGAGTATTTAAAAGCTAACAATTTATAGAGCTGGTCCTATAACTCGATCTAAAGTTTTTGAGAGAACTCAACTTGAACAAACCAGAAGAACTCGATTGACCGATTTATCAAATTGTGTACTGATGTTAACTTTCATTCCATAGTATTTTCTTTAGACCTATTTATCAAATTTTGTACATATAATAATTTTTACTCCTTAATATTTCATGCTATTTTTAATATAACTCGGACCTCAACCTGAACCCGAACTTGAATTCAAAACCTAAGCCGACCCATTGACTAAAGTTGTCACCTAACATAAATCAAATCACCAACCCAGAATGGTTAATGGCGCCATAAATATACTCCCTCCATTTTTAAATACTTGCTCCATTTCTCCATGCGCGAAGCTTTAGGAGAAATTAGATAAAGTAATAAAATATGGAGGTAGTGGAAGAATAAAAAATTATAGAAAGCAAAAGTAGTGGATAGAATTAGAGGAGAGAGAATATATGTTGGAACCACTAGGTGAGATAAATTAATTAAATATTGTAAAAAATTTTCAAATAAGGAAATTAAACAAGTATTTAAAAACGGCCGCAAATAAAAAGTGGAGCAAATATTTAAAAACAGAGGGAGTATCTCAATTCGATCTCATTACATGTCTTATTTTATTCTCTTGTCCTAAAAAACATAAAATATGGACACCTACATCTAAAATGTGCCAAATATTGATAACAACCCCACCGAAAATACAGAAATAAATGTATCAAAAGTACCAATTCACACATTCTTAATCACCTTAATTCAATTCCACCTTATACACAATAAATCTAAAATTATGATCTAAACATTTTGAGATAATTACAATTTACAACAATGGAGGAAGAACGATCATTAACTGAAACTCCAACATGGGCCGTCGCCACCGTTATCTCTGTCATGGTTGCCACCGTCTTTTGCTTCACCAAATCTATTGAATTCTTTGGCCGGGTAATTTTCAATTTATAAAAAAAAAAAAATGTGTGTTTATTTATTTATTTCTCTATATTCTTCTCACATTTTTTTAAATTTTTTTTTTCTTTATGTTTTATTATTTTTAATGTTTGTTAGTGGTTAGACAAGAGAAAAAGGAAACCTCTGTTGGCTGCCCTTAACAAAATCAAGGAAGGTATGATCCATGCATTTGTTCGTTTCTTATTTTGATTTATTTCTTTGTTAATGTGTTGCAATGTTTTATAATGTCATGTTTCCTTTATTCAAGATTCAAGAATATGGAGAGGAAAAGAATAATTTGTTAATGTTTTATAATTTGTTAATGTTTTTTTTTGTTAATGCATTTGTTTCGTACCATGTATATCAACGTGACTATCTATCAAGATTCAAGAATATGGAGAGGAAAAGATTTGTGACAAACTTATATAAAACTTAAGACGTGTTATGTTAAGGGAGCCTAACATAATTTCTGTCACTGGTTGTGCTTGGCTTATATATACGCCTTTGATAAACCCGACTTAGAAAATTTGATGCATTTCATTTAACAATTGGGATGTAATTCTTTTCTTAATAAAATGTTTTGTAACTTTGTGTTATTATTTTCATGACATTTTATTGCATATGCACCAATTTATTGCTTATAATGAAATTCTTATATACTAATGCATTGCATTTTACACTTGGTTTATGCATGTAGAGCTTGTAGTATTTGGGGTACTGTCCCTTCTTATGGGGCACTTCAGTATTTTTGTGGCCAACATTTGTGTAAAATCATCGGTGTTTAGCACTAGGTTCTACCCATGTATACCGGAAACTGCATCAACTCAACCAGTGGTGATCATTAAACACATCACTAATTCGAATGATTCCATGTATGCTCCTCCTGAACACCGTGATCATGCTATAATTCATGCTAGGCAATACTGTGACGAGGTAATTGCTTCACTTACTAATACATCCCATGTCATATACTCAGTTGATGATCTCAACAATAGAGCGCGAGTTGTTTTTATTAACGTGCAGGGGTACGAGTCTTTTGCTTCATATGAAAGCCTGGAGCAGCTTCATCGTCTGTTGTTTGTTCTTGGTATGACTCATGTTACTTACAGCTCTCTGGCCATTGCACTAGCTGTAATTAAGGTTGGATCTAGAATCTCATTTTTTTCATACATTGGTAAATTTGGGTGTAATTTCTAGCAACTTAAACAAGGCTGATTGTATTCATCATACTTGTTTGAAGATTTATAGCTGGAGGGCATGGGAAGATGAAGCGAAAGCCATGGCTTCACAAACCTCACAAGGTCTAAATCTCTTCCTATCTCTCTTGAACAGGACTACATGCTGTCATTCGATTTTGTACCTTGTTCTTAAAACAATTTGATAACTTGGGTTTGATTGAACCTTTTGAACTAGGCGATACAAAGCTAAAGCGTTTGTGTTCCTTTGTTGTCAACCATGCATATCACCCATGGAGCCATCACAAAGTTTTCGTTTGGCTGGTAAGAAGAATTCTGTAGCTATTTTCTTTTTTATTGGCCTTTCATGCTTTCTAAATCTTCTTTTTTCGCTGTATAATGTGCTTGATATACATACTAATTCCCTAGAAAAAAAAAACTTAAATCGATCAATGTACCATGTAAAAGAGGAACATTGTTTAAAATGTGTAGTATATGGTTGGCAATCTTGAACACCTGTTGTGCAGTCATTTTATAGCTAGAAATGGCTAGAATTATCTCAGTGTGTAGCTTTGTTTCAGCCGCCAATTTTGGAGTTCAATTAGCAAGTCCGATTATAATGCTCTCAGATTTGGGTTTCTTACTGTAAGTTTTTCTAAGAGAGATCATCCTTTATCTGTCTAGAATGAGTAATTTTTACTGACACTAAATGGTCTTGACAACAGACTCATCAACTTCCGTTATCCTATGATTTTTTCAATTACATGGTCAGAAGTATGGATGAAGAATTCAGGGATATCGTTGGTATCAGGTCAATCTTTTTCATAGCTTGCGTTATTTGGAGTTGAAATTTCTGATCATCCTTTCTTTAAATCTGCTGTCATATTTCACTGCTTACTAATTTTACAGAACTTATGTATGCAATATGCAACTGACTTTTGTTTCTTCTTTTACAGCTTGCCTCTTTGGGTCTATGCCATAGTTTGCATTTTCCTTGATTTTCATGGTATTTTTCTTAGCATTAGTTCTTTCTTTGGTTCATGCAGCCGACCCCATCCTATTGGGATTAACTCTGACATTGTTGCTGTAAGCTAGTTTTACTTGTGATATCCAAATCGCTAACCAATGTGATTCTTTACAGGAACTAATGTCTACTTTTGGCTTTCCTTTCTTCCGGCTATTGTAAGCTGTTCAATTCTTTGATTCATTCTATGTTTGTCTAAGATAAACCCCTTTTTTTTTTTTTGGTCCGGCTGAGTTACTCGTTTTATGTTTTTGCTCGTGGAAGATAATTGTTGTAATTGGTACAAAGCTGCACCACGTTGTGGTTAAGCTCGCAGTAGAGATAATTGATTCACAATCATATATCAATGCCCAAGAGTTTAAACTGAGAGATGAGCTCTTCTGGTTTGGGAAGCCATGGCTTTTACTTAGGTTCATACAATTCATATCTTTCCAAGTAAGCAAATCCAAGAAATCGAGCCATTGCTGCTATTAGAGTAGTTTCTAAGCATTTTACCTCAAACATTCTAATACCTACTGTGTTTTTTCAACAGAATGCATTTGAGATGGCAATGTTCCTATGGTCATTGGTAAGAAGTTGATCCATAAATTCGTACGAAAACATTACACTACCTAGCTAGTTAGTGAATTCTGACAGTAATTTCTTTTGCAGTGGGAAATCAATGGAACTTCTTGCTTTATGGACAACCCAAGTTATATAATGATTCGCTTAACATTTGGGTAACTAATGGCCAATATGTCGAATCATCAACCAAAATGTCATATAATTATTATAAACTGATGAAATTGACCTGATTAAACTAATTTCAAGTTACTATATATTGATCGATGCAGGATAGTTTCCCAAGTTTGGTGTAGCTTCATTACATTTCCGCTATATGTGATAATCACACAGGTACATACTGTTAATAAGGTTTTGTTTCTTTTCTGGTGAAAAGAACGAAGCCTAAATGTCATCATCTATTGCTATTGTACAGTTTGCACATTGGTTTTTCTCTTTTTAACTCGGTATCTTCATTTGTATGGTGTGACAGATGGGATCCAGGTTCAAAAGAGCAGTGATCTCTGAGGGGGTGAGAAAATCTCTACATGGTTGGAGGAAAAGAGTGAGGGCAAGGCAACAAAGCAACAGTAATTCTAATAGTGCGCGACTAAGCTCTTCATCATCAATGCCCTTGATTCGTGATATGGACAGATACGGTTCCAGCAGCAATAGAAGCAGCACTGATATTAGTACTAGCAGTGGCAGAAGATCCTGGAGAAATGAAGGGTCTAGGAGGTGGTCATTGATGGATTATGGAGATGTAGGAGCGATATTTACCTCGCAACAACCAAGCTATGAAGACAGAGGAGGGATCAACTGTGATAGTGATACTGGTAGTGACAGTTCTTATAATGAGGAGGACTATAATGTGAGAGATGGTGCTCGTTATTCTCGCATTCCATGATGTTCATCACCTTGCTTGTATGTATGGACATGGCTGAATATATGCATTTATTAAGACAATTTTTTTAGGTTTTTGAAGAGATCACAAGGGTCATGTTCATTTGTATTTCCTATTTGGGTTATGTTCTTGATGCAACCTCTCCTTGTTGGGTGGAGTATTTACTATTCTTGATTTAAACAAGTTTATGGAGGAGTAAATTCCAACTAAAAAATGTAATTGGGTGACTCATTTATCAAAGCCAAGCCCTTGGAGATTTTATATTATTAACGCTAACTATTATAATTGTGTACAACAAGTCAACTACTATACGATTCTAACAAGACTTAAATTAATCAAATTTGCATTGTAAAAACTGTAAAACAACCCTGTAATCAACGCATCATATCTACTCCCATGACCCACAACTATTTATATGATTGTAACCAAAATCACATTAAACTATTTTTTAATAGCCAAACAATTTGAACAAATATTTATGTGAGAACATCCACAAACCATTTGTGAAGTTATATGCTTACCATTGAGGAGCTACATGCTCACCATTGTGGAGCTACAAAGGTTGTACCTAAGGCCATGGAGCTACAAGGTTTTACTCCACCCAATGTACTTATATTGATTTGTTTAAAATTTGTATGTATTTGATTTATGTTAAATTTTTTATTTTGGTTTATTATTATTATTATTCCCAATTATAAAAATAAATAGCTAACCATTGTGAAGGTTATAGCTTAGATATTGTAGCTTATTTTAACTAAGAAAATAATGATGTGGCAATTGCTAGCTATAGCTAGCCATTATAGAGACTCTGATATGTATTTAATGATAGTAATTCGAATAATCAATTCAATAACAATTGCGCATTACACAAGTTCTAAAACTAAAATTGTGTAAAGTAAATTTTAATTGTCTTATCTGTCAAAAAAAAATAAATTATTACTACGTAATTGTCTTTAAAAAAAAAAAAAAAAAAAAGTAAAATTTTAATTTCCCTTTTTTAAGTTTAGGAGGAGCTTAATATAAGTCCTTGCCCCCTGCACAAGTAAAACACCCAATTTTATGTTCGTTCTTGTTCATCTCTAAAACTCCTTCGTCACTGAAATCCTCTTCTTCGATCTCTCAATTATAGGATTTTCTCTCCTCTTCTCAATCATGGTGCTCGAGGTTTGCCTTCTACTCAATCTCATATTGAATTGCTTCCTAAAACGATTTCAAAATTAGGGTTTTCAATTTTTCTGACATTCTTTTATTCCCCCTTTTTTGATTGAAATTTTCAGGCGACTATGATCTGCATTGATAATTCGGAGTGGATGCGTAATGGTGATTACTCGCCCACCAGATTTCAAGCTCTTTCTGATGCTGTTAATCTCATCTGCGGCGCTAAAACTCAGGTTTTCTTTCTCTCTCTTCACTTCTTTTAAACCCTAATTTACAATTTGGGGGTTGAATTTGTTATCAATGGTGTTTGTTTCATGAATTTGGTAGTTAAATGTGGATATTACTTGATGGGTTTTGATGTTATTGATTGATTTCGTGTAGTCTAATCCGGAGAACACTGTCGGAATTCTGACTATGGCTGGAAAAGGTGTTCGTGTTTTGGTCACTCCCACCAGTGATCTTGGAAAGATATTGGCTTGTATGCACGGTTAGTTTTCGATCGATATCTCGTGAATTGATTAACATAAATCTTGATTATGCATGTTATTGAATATGTTGTTGTGAATGCATGATTAGAAAGCATGGCTTTTTTTAAAACTTTTGTAGCATGTAACTTAGCTGACTTGAGGATTATCACATTACGTCTAGTTAGGTTGATTTTAGGGCTAGAAGAAATTGATGGGTTGGATGGCATTTGGTTTTCTGATCGTATTAGAATATGAAAATGCCTGGTGGTTAGGTAAAGTCAGTGGCTATTGAATAGAATCAGTCAGTGGCTAATGTATGTTGATCGATGAAATTGGTACAAGGTGAATGACTATGTTTGGTTGAGTTAGAGGAATAGAGAGACATTGCTTGAATTGAGCTTCCAACCACCTTTTGATATTGTTTATTCAACTGTGTCATAATCGTTCCGTTCATGATGTTATGTTAACTTCTAATAAAGCTACATGATTCTTAGACGTGTCTTGTTCCACTGCCTCCATATGGGTAGGAGAATTGAGCTTCCAATCACCTTTTGATCAGTTTCATTGTTAATACAATAATAGGGTGGATTCAGGGTTTTTTTTTTATTTCCTTTTGTAATCTTCCATTCTCTTTTTGTGGAAGCTTTCTGATTGAATTGCTTATTTGCTACTCTCTGGTCACAGGACTGGAAGTTGGTGGTGAAATGGACTTGGCTGCTGGAATTCAGGTGGCCCAATTGGCTCTTAAACATAGACAAAATAAAAAACAGCAACAAAGGATCATAGTTTTTGCTGGAAGGTTGGTATTTGTCTTCAATATTTTGTTGTCTTTTGATGTAGTGGTTTACATATTATTAATCTAATTATCTGCTGGCAGTCCTGTCAAATATGACAAAAAAGTATTGGAGATGATTGGGAGGAAGTTGAAAAAGAACAGCGTGGCCCTTGATGTTGTTGATTTTGGTGAAGATGAGGAAGGGAAGTCAGAGAAACTTGAGGCCTTAGTTTCTGCAGTAAATAACAACGAAACCAGCCATATTGTCCATGTGCCTCCAGGTGCTAGTGCCCTGTCCGATGTGCTGATAAGGTTAGTGATTAATAAAACTCTATGTGACTTACGTTTGTAGGTTATTGAATATTCTCTTGTTCATGAATGTATCTTGTGACAGTACTCCCATATTTACTGGAGATGGGGAAGGAGGAAGCGGTTTTGCTGCTGCTGCTGCTGCAGCTGCAGCTGGTGGTGTTTCTGGATTTGATTTCGGTGTAGATCCTAATTTGGATCCTGAGCTGGCTCTTGCCCTTAGAGTTTCAATGGAAGAAGAGAGGGCAAGGCAAGAAGCAGCTGCAAAAAGGGCCGCAGAAGAAGAAACTAGACAAGAAAAAGGAGGGGAACAAAGCTCCCAAGATACAATTATGGGGGAAAGTAGCAATGCTGCAAATTCCGAAGCTGATAAGAAAAATGACATGACTGAGGTATGTTGATGTGGTGGCATTGCCTAAGGATATTTTTTTTAAAAAAAATTTGGTTTTGTTGTTGTTTTCCTTCTGTTTCAAGCTATATTATAACTAAATTTAAAAGGAAATTTTTTTATTCTTGGTTTCTTATACTTGGTTGCAAATTGGTTGATTGAACCATTGCAGAAATCGTAGAGGGATAATTTTAAATGCGAGATATCATGGAATATTCTTGGCTTTTTTTTGGAAACTATGTGTCTCTAGCATGTCTTTCTTCGTTATGTTCATTTTCATTGAATGTTTAACTTCTTTTTCATTTGCTTTTGTATATTGCTAACCCATGACATCTACAGGATGATGAGAATGCCCTACTACAGCAAGCACTGGCAATGTCAATGGATGACCCTGCCTCCACTACAGCTGTACGAGATACTGATATGTCAGATGCAGCTGACGACCAGGACTTGCAACTTGGTTTGTTTCTTATGCTTTCTCTAATAAATTGCACTTATTGAGGGTAATATCTTTTTTATAACCCAGCATGGAAAAAGATCTTTCATGATTAATGTGTAAATATATTCATTCAGTGTCTTTGGTAACTCTACTGAATTACACTTTAACAAAAGCAGTTTCATGAGATTGGAAATAAATTGACACACCCTTTGTCAGGCTAGAGAATTAGAGTTTCATTCTTTTTCTGGCACATAAAATAGTCAAAGGATAGAAATGCTGGGCAGCTTGTGTATCAGCGAGTTTGACACGGTCCACATGTTAAATTGCCCACAACATCATACCCAATTCGCTCCACATTTCATGAATATAAGTACAGTATTAAGTATTCCTCTGCTAAGGTAAAAATCTTGAATCTTTCTCAACTCTAATTATATAGGGCTTAATGAAACTAAGGCCTTATTTGTCAATTGAGTGTAAATTAAAAAAGTTAATGAACTGAAAAAGCTGGGTATTTGCTAGGAAGGATTAGGCTTTTTAGAATGGTTAATGTATTAAATAACTATCCTGTTATTATTTTTTGCTTGGGAGACATGAATGTTGTATAGTCTCTCTTAAAAAGAGACTATCCTGTCTTTGATATATTATTTTTGGGAAAGTTACTTTAAATAACTCAATCTTAAAGCTGTGTGAATCAAACTTCTCAATAGCAACTATCAAGCAATCTTTTGATAGCATGTCATTTTTAGGAGACTTGTTAATTTCATGGGGATTTCTATGTTGTAGGGATGTTCATAATTTTTTTTATTTTTTTTATTTTTAACATCAAAGAGCATGTTAAGTATCAATATTTCTAAGAATAGAAACTCTATTTTTTCATCTACCTCCACAATCTTACATCCTAAATCCTTATTTTAACCTTCACAATTCTTATCCAAATTTTCATTATTATTTAGGGTTCTTTATCACTTGATTAGTTTCAAGTTTGCAACCAAGAAACACAGAAGAACTCTAGAAGAAGACACCATCTTAGCCACCACTTGCGGTGAGAGGATGGTGAGGAAGAGCATCATCCTCTTTTTGGTTGTATTTTTGTGTGTGAAGACTGTGGTGGGGCGGGTGGGGGGGGGGTCAAGGTTGTGGCATTTAAGGAAATGCTTAGGGCTTGTTTGACATCATTTTTGGTTTTCAGTTTTCTGTTTTTTTGAAAACTAAAAACCAAAAACATGAAACAAGAAAAAGGTGTTTCCACTTTTTTGTTGTCAGTTTTCAAAATTATTATGATTTTAATAAGTTTAAATAATTTTTGATTCATTATGTGACATATATCATATACTTTTATACAACAAAAAACCAAAAAACAGAAAACCCTTATCAATAGGTTTTATTGTTAAGAATTATTTCCATTGCTCCTTTAGTATTGCAATATGGAGTGCACCAAATTTTAGGTGGGGGAAAAGAGGGAGAGTTAAAATTACAAACTTGCAAGTGTGTGTATATATATATATATATATATATATATATATATATATATATATATATATATATATATATATATATATATATATATATATATATATATATAATGTAAAATGGGTATTCCACAATATATGTGGGACTTCCTAAAGGAATGGAGGAAGTATATTCTTATGCAAGATGATATTTCTATGTAACCATCTTTTGTAAGTTGGTATGTGATTGTTGTTGTGCAGTTAGATTTAAGGAATATTATAACTTGGTCACTAGTTGTAGGCTGTCCTAAGTTTTTGTTATTCTAGACAAATGTTCCTTTTTTTTATAAATTTGTTTGTTAATGTTATGAACCGACCAAGGACAACCAAATTACGGCGAAGTAAGCAATAGAACAGTAAAATAGAGAAGGAAGATTGAGGCTTTGATTAACAAAAACCAATGGTTTACATAGTCGATAGGTTTAGTGGTTTCCCTTGGTTTCCCTAATAAATTTCTGCCTACCTCTTTCATTCCCCTCCCTCTCTAATTATACTAAGGAGTAAGGACTATAAACCTAATAAACTAATATTACTATAATACTCATACTACCCTCCTTAGGTTAGTCCATTACAGTTAACTTCTGATACACTGCAGGACATTAGTAATTACTAACCAACTCTACCATGTTTGTGTGATTCTATTAATCTGGTCCTTTCCAATATTTATCCAGATAGCAGACTTTCCACATTTAGAAACTCTACCAAACTCATGGACCACCATTAGAGGAAATTTGGCTATAACCCTTGCTGTTGCTGCTGCTCAACTATCTCTCTTTTTTTTTTTTTTTTTTTTTTTTTTTTAATTCCCTCGTGCATATGCTTGGCTAAGATTTGTTTTTATGCAAACGCTTTGGGTTAGCTAGGCTGTTGGAGGTTATGGAAGTGGTGGATTTGGGTCACTGAGGTTGTGGTAGCTGTCTATCTGCTTGGTGAGACTGTTATTTGGTTGCTGAGCATGGAAGGGGTGGGATAGTCGATGCCAATGGGGAGAGGAGTATAGGCTGTATCATGCTGGTTTGTATTGAAAGCAGCGCGATGTGATGGTGGGATGATGGGAGATGACAAGGGTTTTTAGTGATTTGGGGCTGGCTGGCTGAGGTGTCAATAGTTCTAAATACAGAATTGAAACCCTAGGGGAGTTGGTGATGAAGAGGACTGCTTTTGGAGTGATCTTATTCAGGAAAAGTACAAGGACTGAAATAAGATAAATAAGCACTAACAGATTAACCAAAGAATTGGGATTACCATTCCTTTCCTTCTTTTGTTTTTTTGTTTTTTTTTTCTCCCCCTAGAAACCTTTACCCAAAAAGGCCCTTGGGAAGTTCTTTCCATAGCAATATCTAGTGTTGCCTTTTTCTAGCACATAATATATTTGCTCAGAAGCATTATCAAGCTGATTTCCCTCTTATGAGACATCATATATGTTTGAGCTATGAGTTAACCCTTTGTGTTATGCATGCAGCTCTTCAGCTCTCGGTAGAGGAGGGTGCCAAAGAATCAACAAGTCAGTCAAGTCAGACAGATATGACTAAATTGCTGGCAGACCAGTCTTTTGTTTCATCCATTCTTGCTTCGGTACGTAACTTGTTCTCCCACTTTTTTGTTTAATCACAGGTCTGAAATTTGTTTGCGTTCTCACCCCCCCCCCCCTCTCTTTTATGAAGCACCAGACAGATTTGACTAAAATCTCATGTTTTTTTGCTGACAGCTTCCTGGAGTTGACCCAAATGATCCCTCGGTGAAGGATTTGTTGGCTTCTATGCACAATCAGTCTGAGGTGAGCTAATTTACTATAGTAAATATTTTATCATCATTGCCACATTGGATGTGAAACAAAAATATTGGCTGTTTCAATTGTTGATAATTGTCGATTTAAATGTCATATTTGTGACTTGTGTGTTAATTTGCAGAAGAAGGATGAGGATAAGCCACCAAGTGAAGAGGAGAAAAAATGATGCAATCTCTTTGTCAAGTCGAATTAATGGTCTCTGGTAGCTTGTAATATGGCTTTGTATTTTTCACTTAAAAAGGGAAGGTCACGTTATGATCTAAAAGTTGCTTATATAGCATGAAGAGCTTCAACAATGTTTTTAGTCCCATGCCAAGTCTGTGAAGCACTGAGACAATGTGCATTTCTTCATTGTTAAAATTATTGTTAAATGAATAGAACTTTGGATTAGTTATTTTGTTGTACTATTGCGTTGATTTAGTTTCACATTTTTTACACAAATTGATGCAGCTGTCTCCAAGACTTATCTTCTAGTACCAAATGGATATCATTCTATAATGATAAGGGTTACGAATTTTTTTCTCTCTTCATATTCTTCTTACGGAGTAGATGATTTTGTGTTCCATTAAAAATGTCAAGTTTGTTTCAATGGTTAACAATTCAAAACTAAATAATTTCGGCAGTTTTTAGTTAAAATCATAAAAAAAAGTTAAATTCAATAAAAGTATGTGTAGTTGAGTAAATTTAGATGAAGGGTTCAAAAAATTCCCCCAGTTAGGGCAGTGAAGAGTTGTGGGCATCCCACGATAGTCCATTTCTTCTTTAATTTTGGGAAAATTTGTAAATTGCAGCCATTTAAAATTCGTATTTTGCAAATTGTAGCAATTTAAATTTTCTTTTGCAAATTGCAGCCCAAAAGTTCGTATAAGTTGTAAATTGCAGCCCGATTCAATTTTTTCATCAGTTTACATGTTAAAAATCTTCAGTTAAGGTTTTAGGGGTCATTTTAGCCCTTAAGAATCCGAATTGAGCTCGAAATTAGCAAAAAAAAATGTAAGTGTCTCATATTTACAGTTTTTCACAAATCGATACATTTTTGTTACGCAAAACGAGATACTTACGTTATTTTTTTGCTATATCCGAGCTCAATTCGGGCCCTTAAATGCTAAAATGGCCCCTAAAACCTCAATCGAAGATTTTACAACTTGTAAACCGATGAAAAAGTTGAATCGGCTGCAATTTACAATTTACTACGTATATGAACTTTTGGGCTGCAATTTGCAAAATTAATTTTAAATGGCTGCAATTTGCAAAATACGAACTTTAAATGGCTACAATTTGCAAATTTTCCTTAATTTTGAAAGCCATTAAGCGAGGTTAACATCAATATTTTAAAAGTTACTTTACGATGTTGATTACAACTGAATGCATTAATGCTAATTCATGTACCTTCAAAAAAAATAAATACGAGTACCAAATTCTAGGTTTAATGTTAAGGTTTTTTTTATTTATTTATGGAAAGTTTGCAAATTGCAGCCATTTAAAGTTCGTATTTTGCAAATTGCAGCCATTTAAATTTTTTTTTGCAAATTGCAGTCCAAAAATTCGTATAAATTGTAAATTGCAGCCCGATTCAATTTTTTCATCGATTTACATGTTGAAAAATCTTCGATTAAGGTTTTAGGGGTCATTTTAGCTCTTAAGGGCCCGAATTGATCTCGGAATTAGCAAAAAAATAACGTAAGTGTCTCATATCTACAGTTTCCCACAAATTGATACATTTTTGTTACGCAAAACGAGATACTTGCGTTATTTGTTTGCTAATTCTGAGCTCAATTCGGACCCCTAAGAACTAAAATGGCCCCTAAAACCTTAATCAAAGATTTTTCAACTTGTAAATCGATGAAAAAGTTAAATCGGGCTGCAATTTACAATGTATATGAACTTTTGGGCTGCAATTTGCAATTTTATTTTTAAATGGCTGCAATTTGCAAAATACGAACTTTAAATGACTGCAATTTGCAAATTTTTCTTTATTTATTTATTTATTTTTTGTAACAATAATGTTAAGTTTTTAAAATTTACATTAGTTTTATTTTTTAAATATAAATAAAATAAAATAAATCGAAAAAATACAAGTTAATCACGAGGGTATAATAATCAATTTACATAATTAATTATGGGCAATTTTGTGATTTCATGTTCGTAGTATAAAAGAAGGATATGAAGACCTTCAGTGGAGATTTCAGCAACTTTAATGGAGAATTCAAGCTCAAGGGTTGCATCAATGGAATCCTTACCTTTCGGGGTGCACCATACCCTTCATTTCTCCTTTTTTTTTTTCTTTAGGGTTTTCGGTTAATTTGACGGCAAAGAAAATTACGGTGGAGAAATTCAGCAGGAAATCAAAAATCAATTCGAAGCATTCTCACGAAATGATGTATGTTCTGTCTTAGTCTATAAAGACAATAATACTAATCAAAACAAGAATTTTTAGAGATAAAAAAGCATTACAAAGTACATTACCTATTTAAGATGGTTCACCTTAAAATGTAAATGTTTGTTTTTGTTTTTTGCTACTATTTTTAATCACATGGGAATGTTCAATTGATTCTTTACTGTTTGCTGCATAATTCATGATACATGAGTGTAAATTCTAACGCATTTGATTTATTTATTAGGGAAGATAATGAATTAGTCAATTTTGAAACAAAAGTGGCACATTTTGATGCGAATAAATACAAACAAATACTACGTATTAATCAGAATTGTACTTCGTATATAATTGAATGGCCCTGTCTCTTTGTTTCTGATGATATTTTGATTTTCCTTTTTTACTTAATTTTTTTTTTTTTTTTTTTAGTGTTATCCTTAACTGACAAGAAGTAATAATTGAGTCAGAGTACATAACAATTGGAAAAAAAAAAAAAAAAAAATCTTGGCTGTGGGAGTGTGGGGGTTGATTTAATAGTTTTGTTGTTCATGTGTACGCAATTGATAAATTTCGGAAAAAAGCTAATTATAGTATTTGAATGAATTTTCTGGTCCTTATAATGTGGTAATTGTTTCCTTCAATGTACTTGCGTATTCATTTGACATAGATTTGATTTGGAATGTTAAAGTGGAGTATGAACTGTGAATGTGTTAATAAAACGGACTCTTATGCCCTTTTGTTTGTACCACTTTCCTTTTTGGCCGGTCCCTTTGAAATCACCCTCTACTATGTATAACTATAAAGCATCACCACTTTACTCTCACAGTCACTACATTTGGTCCCACTAATGTCACGGAGGAAATAGAAGCAATGTTGTCTAGTGCTATAATTAGATGGTTGAACTAAGTAGTCTCTTTGAGGGGCCTAGCTCTTTTAATGGCGGGCGGGGAGAAAGATGTGTATAAATTAAACAAATGGGTGGGTGGCCTGGTGGTCCTACTACTAGTTCTAATAGTGTACTGTGAGTTAGTGACTAATGTCAAATGTCCCAATTCATTTAGATACTCTGATAAAAGGTTGCTAAATTTTTTTTCACTCTATTGATCAATCTTTTGGTGTACTGGATATGGGGAAACCTGCTATGAGTATATCTGTTGTTCTTTTTGTATTAGCTGTTTTCGGGTCATTCGAGTTAATCTGTTGCATCAAGTACAAAACCGGTGCTGGTGTTGTAAATGGTAAATTGAATGTTCATTTGGTTGCACATTCACATGATGATGTTGGGTGGTTAAAGACAGTTGATCAATACTATGTTGGATCAAATAATAGCATTCAGGTTATAAAGTGATTTTAGTTTTCTTGTTTACTGTGGTCAGAACTCAGAAGGGGTTGTGTAGTAGCTTGTTTTGGCTGCTGGATTGTTGTAGTACAATTGACATTGTTTTTCGCTTTGTAGGGTGCTTGTGTTGAAAATGTTTTGGACTCGGTTGTGGAAGCATTGCGGCGTGATCCTAATCGGAAGTTTATTTTTGCTGAACAGGTTAGTGTTTTGAATAATTGATTCTTTGGAATATTTAGTTAGTTGTTACTGGTATAATGTTTGTATAGGATTATAGATTGCTTGAATGTTTGATTATTGTCATATTATTCCAATTGCTTTGCAACACACAGTTACAAACTCAGGTGCTGATGGTTTTAGGCTCCTGTAGTCCTGAATGAGCTTTGTCAACTTTTGTCCAGTTTAATTAAGCTACCTGCAGGGTATCTGCTCTATGGTTTTGTACAATAAACTAGGCTCGTGATGTGTAATTATTACCTTCAATTTTGGGGTGATAATTGTCCTAGTGTTACTTAATAAAAATTGAAGAAAATTATTCATTTAAATGCTCAAGATTTCAAGAGATCTGCACTGTTTTGGGGCATTTATTAACAAAATGTAGAGAGGACTATTAGGTGTAGCTACCTCAGTGTTAAAGCGTGTGAATTTATTGTAAAATGCTTTCAGCTAATGGATTGAAAATAATGTAGTAAAACTAGTAATTTTCAGTAATATAGTAAATGATTGGACCTAGATGATGTACAAATGTAAGAATAACTACTTACGAACTTTTCAGTAGTAACCTGACATAATTAACACATTGGGTTTGACTGCTGCTGTTTATTGAAAGTTGTTCACATGAATGGAAGTGGCTAAGTTTGGTGCCAATATGTTCAATGCTATTGTTGACTGAAGTAGAGCTTTTGATATAAGTTGAGACCAGTCGTAATAGGAAGAATCTCTGTAACATAATGGAAGCACTTTATATTTGTATCAGGCTTTCTTTCAGCGATGGTGGGTGACCCAAGAAAAGGAAATACAAGAGGAAGTGAGAAAGTTGGTGGATGCTGGACAGTTGGAATTCATGTAAGTCAGTAAGTGGCACTGTGGCAGCATTGTGGTTTATATTTTGTGATTTTGGTGCTGAAAAAACTATGTGATCAAGGCACATCTCATTCTGTTATGTAGTAATGGTGGCTGGGTCATGCATGATGAAGCAGCAAGCCATTATGTAGATATGATTGATCAAACAACACTGGGTCATTACGCTATAAAGAAACAGTTTAATAGCATACCTCGTGCTGGATGGCAGATTGACCCTTTTGGACATTCTGCTGTACAGGCTTACCTCCTTGGAGCTGAGGTATGATATTACTCTGCCTGAATCCTCTTTTTTTCGGACTATGATATTTCATGATCTTTGTATATGGGATATACATTTACTGTTTGACTATAACTTTGCATGGCTCTCAGTGATGTATTATATTTATGTAGCTTGGTTTCGACTCAGTGCATTTTGCAAGGATTGATTATCAGGACAGGGCTGTACGCAAAGATCATAAATCTCTAGAAACTTTATGGCGTGGATCAAAGACGTTTGGTAGCTCATCTCAGGTTGACTTGAATTTTATATATAGAATTCTACACTACTGTTGCTTTTTTTAAAAATAAAAATAAAAATTTTGACTCATTGCATCTATTTTTTTTTTTTTTTGCTCATTTGAACCTTTCAGATATTTTCAAATGCATTTCCTGTTCACTATAGTCCGCCAGATTCATTTCATTTTGAAGTGAAAGATGAGCGTTCCATCCCTGTCCAGGTTTTTTTTTTTTTTTTTTTTTCACCATAGAGTGATGTGGCATGAAATCATTTTTCTGCTTATTCTCTTTCCTCTTATTTGTTTCGTGATGCAATTGTAGGATAATCCCCATTTATATGATTATAATGTTGCTGACCGAGTCAATGATTTTGTTCATGCTGCCATTACGCAGGTAAAGTTTTTAACTTTATACACTCTTTGATAATTCTGTTTCTGAAGAAGTTGATTACTGCTAATCAGTCACATGATAATTAAATTGTAGCTGATAACTTGTTACCCTATAGGCCAATGTGACTCAAACAAATCACATTATGTGGACAATGGGCGATGACTTTCAGTATCAGGATGCTGAGACTTGGTTCAAGCAAATGGACAAGTTGATCCATTATGTTAACAAGGTAGTGTCCTAATGACTTCTTCTTATCTCTTGTTAATGGAGGTTTTACAAGTCAAAGACCAAATGTTTGATACCTATAAATGCTCGCTGGTTGTCCTGGTTCTGTACTCAATCTATTGGAGTTGGTTTTTTCTACAATTTTATGGGTGTTAAGATCTCATTGATGCATATTGTAGGATGGACGAGTGAATGCTCTCTATTCAACTCCTTCTATCTATACGGATGCTAAACATGCTGCCAATGAGTCTTGGCCTCTCAAATCTCATGACTATTTCCCGTAAGTGATAGCTGACCTTCTGTAATCTCTATATTCACCTTAACCCCTTTGTTTTTGTCTGTCTATTGTAACCACATTGTCAGTTTGTCACACAAGCATGCACTCACACACACTGTTCAAATGCTTTGGATGATTGGATCTCAAAAATTGTAGTAATATGGACTTTCTTCAGTGGTGCTATTTCTGATTTTCGAATTTTCTTACAGTTATGCGGATGGTGATCATGCTTACTGGACTGGATATTTCACTAGTCGACCATCCTTCAAGCGTTATGTTCGGGCTCTCAGTGGATATAATCTGGTAGTGCATTTGATATTTCTGTCGTATAGACCTTTCTTGATTCAAAATAAAGAGGGTCTTCTTCTTACAATTCTCTCTTGAAATAATTAGCTTCATGAAACCTAATAAATGTGAGCTATTCAACATATAAATTTTCCTTTGTTCCATACTTGTTTTCTGCTGTCTGAATTAGACTTCCTTTATATCGCTTTGACATGCAGCATTTAGTGATATGTTTAGATGTGCTAACTTTGTGTCTGTAATAGGCAGCACGGCAACTTGAATTTCTTTCTGGAAGGAGAACTGCAGGCCCAAACACATATAATTTAGGGGAAGCATTAGGAATCGCACAGCATCATGATGCAATTACTGGTACTGCTAAGCAACACACTACAGATGACTACATGAAGCGCCTGGCAGCAGGGGTTTCTGAGGTGAATAAATATATTTCTTATGATTCTTAACCTTTTATTTTTACTTTTCTACTAATAAGGAAGCTTTAAGATTGGGCCATCTCATGTTACCTCCTTATGTAACTTCTAATATATAGTGATTTGTATTTTAGGCAGAAGCTGTTACAAACTCAGCACTAGATTGCCTACTGGATAAGAAATCAAAAGGTCTTTGCAATACATCCACATTTACTTTTGACCAGGTAAAGTTTGATGATAGCAATGTTCATACATCATAATATTCAAGCTTTTTGTGTACTTTATCTTTGGCAGCAGGAGGGGTGACTTCATAATTTGGGAGAATTGAGACTGCTTTTCCTGTTTGTTTTTTTTGATATCAAATTAGCATAAACTCCATAAAGAATTGAAATGCCACTAACAAACCCAACTGATTTTTTCATTGTTATCTGACATGCCAATTATGCATGTATTGGTTAATTTTTGTCCATTCTCCCTTATATTTCTACTGAAACCTCTCAACAGTGTCAACTTCTCAACATAAGCTACTGCCCCTCAACTGAGCAAGAGATTCCAAAGGGGAAAAGTTTGGTAATACATCATTTATCTCTACTTATTGTTATTAAGTAGCTGCTTGCTAAAAAGATATAATCTATTTCTTTGCTTCAGGTCGTAGTTGCATATAATCCACTTGGATGGAATCGAACTGATGTCATCAGAATCCCAGTGAGCCCTCCTTATTTTACTCCTGTGTTTTTTATTGGTCTGAAGATTTTGGGAGAAAATGTTTTTCACTTGTTTAGTGTGAATCTTCTTAGGTGATTATCATTTGTTTAAATAGCGCAAACTTTTGTAGTTGACATGGTCATCATCAATGAAACAGAATGTAGAGGCAGAAAAGCTACTTAATAAGATAAATAGTCTATTTAAAAGCCTAATAACAAGCATCAACATTGCCTGTTTGAGGCTGCAGAACAGGGTAGAATTTGTGCAGCCCGTAAAAAGTTTTTGGCTGATAATCAAGGTGCAATAGTCTTTCTAAAGGATTGTTCTGGGGAAGGTGCACTCAAGGAATGTATTGTTTTTTTCTAGGAAACCTGGTGAATAAAAAACATAAATATACATATATATATATATATATATATATATATATATATATATATATATATATATGTATATATATATATATATATTTATATATAATAAAATAAAAAAATTTGCCTTATCATGGATTACATACTAATAGAATTTGCCAAAATATTCCAATGGGTGGTTGAAATTTATGTGAGCAGCAGTTGGAGAAATTTCTCAATTCAGTTATTTCAGGAAGTACTTTATCTCAACTAATTATGGGAGGACATAATGGATTTGATTGAGAGTAAAACAAATATTCCTGGGCCTCAACCAAAAGCTTAAGCTGATGTTTGAGGGCCCAAGAATATGTTTTATACTGCTTTGATACAATGTTAGAGGACCATTTCAACCAAAAGCTTAAGTTGATGATCGAAGCCCAGGAATATGTTTTATACTCTATCAGGGTTTTTTTTAGAAGTTGTAAGCAAGTGGTGGTAATTCTTTTTCCTGATACATTCATTGGCCTGATATTGCTAATGCGAGGCACTACTAGGGACTAGGGAGTAGGGACGATTATAAAGCTTCATAAATTATTTGATACAAACTTGCTTACACTGCACATTGTTATTCAAAAATGACTTTGCGTTTGATGCATTGTAAATTATCTTTTGGCCAGGTTGATAATGCTAATCTTGTTGTCCAAGATTCCTTGGGCAGTGTGATTGAATCCCAGTATCTTGATATGGATAATGTGACCATAAACTTGAGGAACTTATATACCAAGGCCTACCTGGGAAAATCATCAAAAAAGGTCCCCAAGTTCTGGCTTGCTTTTGGAGTCTCTTTGCCACCATTGGGTTGGAATACATATTTTATTACGGAGAGAAAAGGAAAGGGTAAACATCTTTTTGTTTTAAAAATTTTGGATCAGTTTCTTAGCTCACAATATCTGTGTGTTTTTTTTAATCATCTCTTTTTGTTTTGTATGCATCTTAGGACGGATCAATAGAAGCAGTGTAACTGTTGTGGACAGAAAAAAGGACCAGATAGTTGATATTGGTCCAGGAAATGTGAAGATGTCATTTTCTTCATCTGGTCAACTACTAAAGATGTCCAATTCTGAAAGTGGGGTGAGGCATCTGAAATTTAAACTGTAGTACATTATATTGCAGACTGGAATAATTGTTAATTAGCTGACTTGATTTCTTGACTATGGAGGCTTTTACGCATAGGGAGCTTTGAGTTTAGCTATCATGAGCTGAAAGTCAATCTAATTACTACTCAGGAATAATTACTAAAATTTATCATTGTATAAAAACTTTACACATCCAAAGAAATGTCACTGTGATGATTGAGCCTGCCTAATATCTCATGAAAATAAACATTTTTGAGATTTTAATGGGTTTTTTTTAACCATTCATGGTGTCGCTTAAAACTGGAAATGAAGTCCAAACTTTATGAAGGTTCATCATATAAATTCTGTTTCTGGGCATCACTACATCAACATTTGCTTAGTTTCTTTCATCTATCTACATTTTAGTTCAAATCATCAGTAATAAGTAATTGTGGATTTTGTCATATTTTTTCCAGGTTGATGTACCATTACAGCAAAGCTTTCTTTATTATACAAGTATGGGTGGCGAGGATGGTCAGGTATGAATCTCATTACTGAATTAAGTGATTAGTACTGAATTAACTGATAGGTACATTGTTTAATTCTTATTGGCAGGCATCTGGTGCATATATTTTCCGACCTTCTGGTGATCCAACTGTCATCCACAATAAAGTATGCTCATTTCTTTTGTTAGTATCTTACTTATCTTATAAGCCTGAATGGGTATAGCAACAAGCCTACACAGTTGATTAAGTTAACTTTGCTTAGAATTTTTCACGCTTCTCTTTTCTTTGGCATCCACAAAGTTATTGATTGGAATCAATATAAGAGGGAAGGGCACATTAGGTAGTAGTGTTATGATTCAGTTATTGGTGTCTTGAAGAATGAGATAGTTACTTAAAGGAAAAGCTCTATAAATAGAGCATATTAGAGAGAGGGAATTCATGTTGAATATTGATGAGAGTACTGCTAATTTTGTTTTTGCTAATGGGAGATAGCAAGCCTCTCAAATGCCTGTAAGGCTAACTATCCTATTTTATTGCTGATTTCCAGATACGATGTCAGATTGAGCATTGTCTTCTTTCCTTAGTTTATCTATTTAAAATCAGTCCAAAGCTCTGCTGATTCTTTGGAGCTATAATTTGAGCAATATTTGTGTTTTTTTATTGATAATGTTTTGATGTGAGGGTGTATTCTATTCACTTGATTTTCATTAATCTGAATTTGTTAGAACTTATTTGAACGTAACTTATCTGAACTTATTAGACAGAACTTATATTAGCTGTAAAGTGAGCTTGGGTAGCCCTTATTTACCCTTACTAGAATTTATTTATCCCAAACTTATCTTATTTGAACTCATTAACCTCATTTCAACTTATTTTTCATGAAATGAGTGGAAATAAAGTAAACAAAACACGGCCTAAGTATTTACTTCATTATGCTTCCAAATTCCAATATACTAGTGGAGGCCAGACAAAAGCTTTGCATATGTGCATATAGAAAGATCCCTATTATTACTATCTGGATATAATATCACTTCTGATTTCTGGTTATAAAGTATTATGCGTACTTCTATTTTATTTGTTGTCAAGTTTTACTTATTTCAGCAAGCACTGCTATAACCCTGTTGTAAAAGAAGAATTCATTCACAGTTGGAATATTTTTAAATCCTCTTAGTGAAAAATGTACCATGCATGTGTTGGTAAGATATAGGGCTGTCTAATTTTGTTTATTTACTCACTGGTGATTAAAATTTGGATGATAGATTGAGAGCTATATGCCTGACTTATTTCTATCCTTTTTTCTTATAGGAGCGTATGGTAGTTGTTCGTGGAGTACTTGTGGATGAAATTCACCAACAGTTTGACTCGTGGATTTACCAGGTTCTGATCTCATACTATGTCTCATTGCGAGAAAATAGTGATGATGTGCAATAAACAATGCATTTGGTTTTTTTAAATCCTCTCTTGAGAAAACTATTGGATCATGCATGCTCTATGAATCCTGCATGATGAAAGATCTTCTTTAGTATAAAGGATGTTGACCCTTTACAATCAGAATATCAATTGGGGCAGTTTGGTATGATATATTGCTCCTCTTCCAGTTAAAATCTGATCACAATTTTATGTGTCTCCTAGGTGACTCGCCTATATAGGGACAAGGATCATGCTGAGGTAGAATTTACGGTAAGTTCTTCACCTTTGCCTCTCCTTGTAAACTTTTTATGGAATAGAGTAATAAACAGTTTATTTGGGAACTTGGATTAAATGAGGAAAACTTAGCAGAACTCTACAAACTAAGGAAACTGTTAGTCTGTAGAAATACAATATAGTTTTCTGTATTTGCATTTCTTCAAAACTAAAATAAAAATTGTGGAAAACTAAAGAAATGTATTATGAAAGGCAGTTTCAGCTATACATTTCCATTTTTCCTCTCATTTATACACCAATCAATGAAGTACTACGTGAGTTACTGTACGATAGTTTTTCACATCAATAGCAAATAACAAAACTATTGAAAAGTAGAAATATCTACACTTTTTGTAAGTAATACTTTTCCATGAATAACTACAATACTATGAAACTGCTTTACATGTTTGTATATGTGATTTCTGACAAGTTTTTGATTGAAGATTGGTCCCATCCCCGTTGATTTCATTGGCAAAGAGGTGATCACACGGATGGAAACAAAATTTGCCACAAATAATGAGTTCTACACTGACTCCAATGGAAGGGATTTTCTGAAACGGGCAAGTCTTTTTCTATTTGTTGCCTTTTATATCCAGGACCTTATTCCTCCTTGGAGTGGAACCCCTTAACTAGTTATTTCATTTTAATTTTCTGTTTTCCATACCTGGTAGCAGTATTGTCCTCAAATCTTTCTCCTTGAAAGTTCAGTTTCTGTTAGGTAGCCTTCATGTGTTCTTCAAATCTCGGGTCTCAAATCTCAAGCAGCAAAGAGTGAACTGCAATAATTGTCCCTGTGGCAGCAATCATCTAAAGTGCTTTTCATTTTCTTAGTTGTGATAGTCTATCCTTTGTGCTATAATGATTCAACAGTTTTTGTTGCATAATTCTGCAGATTCGGAATTACAGGGAGGACTGGAAACTTTCAGTGAATGAACCTGTGGCTGGAAACTACTATCCGGTAAAATACTTTCTTTTTTAATTCCAAATAAAGATTCATTTTTCTGGTTTTTGCATACTCACCTGTAATTTTATTCTTAACAAGAAAGTAGTATATTCACCTATCTGGCTACTGCAGAGAATGAACTTATGGAATTCAGTATATTAGATGGGGTGTTTATCATTTACTCCTCTGTGTCTCTAGACTTTTACTTCATGCAAAGCAAATCAGCAGTAAACCCTGATTCTGCTTATACTGTTCCATGATAGATTGGAGTAAAATTTGCAGATGAAGCTTTAATAAGATAGATGCTTGTGCTGCTTTTTATCTGTTTTTTCTGGGAATGCAAGTGTTCCACCATAGCCATACTATAATATTAGGTTGATTTTAAGCCTCTAGGTTCAGTTACTGTTGAGATACTTGTAAACTCTGGAGCATTTTATAATCCTATTTTGCATTCATCTACTTGATTGATTTTGATATTAATATTCAAGTTTACTTCATGCTTACTTTGCTTCATGTGTTTTCAGATTAATCTTGGGATATATGCTAATGACAGCAGCTACGAGTTCTCAGTTTTGGTGGATCGTGCCACTGGAGGAGCCAGCATTAAAGATGGTCAAATTGAACTAATGCTCCATAGGTTTGGCATCTTTTGACTTGTATATATTGTTTTTCTTAATTGAAGTTGTTATAATCACGTAGGTATAACCTGGTGCAGTATGACGTTTTTCCCCTTCTTTATTATGGCTTCTCTGTTTTTGTGAATTAAGGCGTCTACTAGCTGATGATTCTAGAGGAGTAGGGGAGCCCCTTAATGAAGAAGTTTGTGTTGAAGACTCATGCAGTGGACTTACAGTATGATGCTCTGCAGTAATAACTGTGTTTTCTCATTCCCTTATGTTTTCAAGATTGCAATAAAAGTTTTTCAGTCTTGTGTCCGTCTTCTCCTTGTGCCTATGTACATGTTTTTACATTTGTTTAAACTATTTGTTTACTCTATTACTAAACAAAAACACCTGATTATGCCTGAACTGAACTGATCTAAATTTGAAACTGAACAGAATTCGAAATAGACCCAATTTAACCCTGTGGTAACCCAACTAAAATCTCTTGAAGTGGTTTATTTTCCAGGTCATAAATCTGAATTGAGATAACAAAGTGCATGATTTATCGAGTGACTTTAACTCTAGTTGTGAGATATCATGGTATGCAAACAAGTTGATTTCTCCTGCTGTCCTGCATAACCTCTGTATGCTTCTGAAAGCTCTGTTGGGGAAGGCGGGAAGTGAAGTGATTCCTCTAATCATTTTGTTATTAATTATATCATATTTTCACTGTTTCATGTATTTACCATGTGTATGTGTATAACTGTATACGACAACTTATTGCATCAATAGCGGAATGCATCATTGAGCTTGCCATTCTTGGCCAGATTCGCGGACACTATTATGTGAACATCCACAAGTTAGGAGCTGGTGCTCAGTGGCGCAGAACCACTGGTCAAGAAGTCTACTCTCCTCTACTTTTGGCTTTCACACATGAGGTATGGCTTAAATATTAGCAGATAACTAAAGCAAATTGCTATCTACGTGATTTTAATATGGTCAATCACCACGTACAGAACCTAGACAGTTGGAAGGCTTCTCGGTCAACAAAGGCAACCTCTATGGATTCAAATTACAACTTACCTCTTAATGTTGCTTTGATAACTCTTCAGGTACCTGTTAATTCATTATGATTCTGGCTAAGCAACTTCTTGTTTCGAAATTGATTCTCAAAAGCTGCTCCCAATGAAAGTATGTGTATTTTCATGCTTGCCTTTCAAGACTTGTCTAACTGATCAATGCTCAACTTTACAGGAATTGGAAGATAAATATGTACTACTCCGCTTAGCACATCTTTATGAGGTAAAACCTTTGTTTCCCTTTGCCCTTAATTCTTCATTTACTTTCATTTGAATCAGACCGAGGCTTTTTTTTTTTTAGTTCTATAATATCTCTGAACATATAGGTATCTCAAGTTTGCATACGGAGATCTTCTAGTGTGGACCTTATCTAAAGAGAAGTGCAGACACTTACTGCAACGATATTGCACACAAAAATCTTGAGATTATTAGATACACTCCTGAGGGTAGGGAAACTATGACATCTACAATCGACCTATTGCAAAAAATTTAAATTTCACTTGCACAAGAGAGCATAAACTGGCTAGCAATATGGTGCACATCAATATTGTTTTGGGACTTTCCCTTTGAAATAGCAGTCATATATTGACATCCTAAATCCCACTGAACTGAATCTTTCTGTATATTATTCAGCTCATAATTTGCAGAAAAGGGCACCCTCAAAATAGAGTTAAAAGTTAATATAGAATTTCTGGGCTAGTCTGACATATCCGATCCCCTTGATTATTGGATACAGAACAACTTGGTATATTATCTACCATATACGGAAAACCATTATTTGAAGTTGCACTTTGGTGCAGAAAACATCTTAAGGAGTTTTGAAAGTGCTGATAATCTAATTTATTGTGTCCTTGTGCTACATCATATAGTTTTCTATAATAACTTGATCTAAATGTTCTTATGCTATTACAGTTGTAGTAAGCTATATTTTGTCTTTCCATTCTTATTATTTATGGTTCTAATGTGTTTAGGCTGGTGAAGATGCTGAATACTCGGGAATGGCCATCGTTGAACTAAGAAAGATTTTCTCTGGAAAACAGGTTTGATTCATTAGCTACTCAAGACTTCATGGTCTAGGATTACAATCATATTTCTTTCCTTCCTTATCATCGACATTAGTAACTCTTAGCGACTTGCATTCTGCTGCACACAATATGTTTTCAGATAAAAGAAGTAAAAGAGATGAGCTTATCAGCAAACCAGGAGAAGTCAGAGATGAAAAGGCTAAAATGGAGAGTTGAAGGAGAAGACACGAGTAACGTGGGAGCACGAGAGCACATCCCTCTTAGAGGAAGTCCTGTTGATGGTTCCACCCTTGTGGTTGAGCTTGGTCCTATGGAAATCCGTACGTTTTTGTTGAAATTCTAAATCATAAGTTCCTCATTTCAAAGTTACTAGGCTTAAAATTATGAGCAATAAATGTATTTAAGTTTTAACACCAAGAAATTACTTGTATAAATGTACTACTTCGTACTTGTATGTTTTATTAAACAAAATTCATGTAAAAGCACCGACCCTATTTTATACAATTACTCGGATAGTGAAAAGTATAGTTTTAAATTGCTCAGGACATGTGGTTGGTCTTTCCAAAGATGAAGTTTTTATCAATATCAAGACTCAAAGAATAAATCAAATAAAATATAATAATTATCTCCCTCCAATTCTCATTGTCAATTTAGTCAAATTGAAAATAAAGTAATTCTTTTAATAAAATGATCTAATAGTTGTATACTTAACTCATCAAGAAAAGATATACATACAAGTAATTAGATGTGAGAGTAAATTTATTATGCTTTCAACTAAAAACCTTTTCGACCGTAGTTTAATGCTAAAGGTCATATGTTTTGGTATAGAAAAAGCTTATATATACAAGTTTGTTAGTTAATTATTTAATTTAATGTTATTGACTAAGTTTTTTAATAGGAGTGTCTATTTGGTGTTTAGTTTGAATATAGCGGTCACATTCAATCCCATCCAAATTTAAATCCGATTTGGAAAAGTTGAGTCCAATCAATATGATTTGATTAATTTTGTTTCCTTTCCAAAATTCAATTCGTTCCAACTCAAGTTAGATTTTGATAGTTTGGATCCAATTTCAAATCTGAATTATAATGAACTGCCATTTTTTTCGAGCCAAATGATTTGCAAACTAGCCTACATTGGTCCATATTCCCGAAATATGTCTTAGAGTAGATTCAAGTTTAGATATGGTACTCTTTCCAGCTCATAATAACTGACACAGTTTCTATTTTCACCCGTCTCAGTATAACTGACACATTACTAAACACAATATTGGACCACTAATTAAAAACTATTTTCCTCTACTCTTTCATGACCCATTGATTTTTGGGAAACAATTTCTTAAAAGGATTCTTATTTTTTTTAAAAGGAATCTTTTTATAGTATTTCACTCAAAGTTTTCTTAGGCTATGTGTCCATCCTAACGTCCTAGATATTTTTGGATGGAGGGAGTAGTTTATTGTGCTTCCTACAATTTTTTTTTTTTTTTAATCCTATTTAAAAATTCAATCAAATTTAATCCTATTTTTAAAAAATTGATTCAAATTCCTTATTCAATTTAGTTAAAATTTAATCACATTCTACGTTAACCAATGAAAGTAGTAATAACTAAGGGGCTGTTTTCATTGTCTGAACTCATCTGAACTGAGCTGAACTGAAATGAATATTTTATAAGAGAAGGAAATTATGAGCTGAACTGAGCTGAAGTGAAATGAATATTTTATAAGAGAAGGAAATTAGGAGCTGAACTGAACTGAATATTTTATAAGAGAAGGAAATTAGGAGCTGAACTGAACTGAGCTGAGCTGAGATGAGTTGAACTGAACTGAGCTGAGCTGAGCTGAACTGAACTAAAATGAATTTCAACATATGAGAACAAGCCCTAATACTCTATTTAGAGTTAATTAACAATAACCCTAAAATCCATTGTAGCCAATCTAACCCAAATCTAATTTGGTCTAAATCTTGATAAATAAATATCCAAACTACCAACTCGACCCGATCCCATTGCCATCTCTACTCGACAGGTCGGTAACTCAAACAACTCGGTTAAGGGTAAATCTTAACGGTGCGAGCGCGGGAGTTGCACAATTCCCAACAATAAATCAAACCCAAAAAGACTGTCTCCCTTCCGCGGACTTCCCACGTCAACTGTATTTTCTCTCTCCTCTGCAACTTCGCCATTAAGCTTTCTTCTTCCTTCATCTTCCTTTATATACCTCACCATTTTCACTTTTCTCTCACTTTCTTCTTCATCACAACAACAATGGCGTCTCAAGAACTCCCTAATCGTCGATCTTCATTGTATTCTGATATTGATCAATCTAACCCCAATTCTTCATCCCCTTTTTTGTACAATCAAACTCCTAACCCTAACCCTAACCCTAACCCTAATTCCCAATCTTCTAATTCTCTTTACCCTACTCTTCATATGTCAGATCTCGTCGATAATCTATTTCCCGATGATTATCATCGAAACCCTAATCCTAATCCTAATCCTAACCCTAACCCTGATTCTGTTCCTGGTACTCCATCTGCTCCACCAGAGCTCGAACCTGAACCTATTGAAGAAACCCTAATCACTGTTCCAGGTGCGGTTGTTCATCTAATTGATAAGAAGTACAGTGTTGAGCTCGGAATCGGCGATTTCACGGTTCGCCGCATTCGTCAGGGGGTGAATACTGTGGCTGTTTTCGCTTGTGTTTCAGAGGAGGTGCAATGGCCGTTAGTGAAGGAAGAAGCGATTGTCAAAGTTGATGATTCGCATTATTTCTTCTCTCTATCTGATTCGGATTCGGGTTCCAAAGAAAAATCAGATGATGTTTTGAATTATGGACTGAGTTTTGCTTCAAAGGGGCAAGAGAGTTTGCTGAGGGAATTAGATGCTATTTTCGATGGTTTCGGGAATTTTACGGTGCAAAGCGTTTCGGAGAAGAGTAGGGGAGATTTGGCGGGAGTGGGTGTCGCTGGTGAGATTTCGCCGCAGGAATTGAAGTGTGATGAGAAAAAGAAAGCGGTGATGGAGCGGAGTTGTGGGGCGTATTGGACGACATTGGCTCCCAATGTGGAGGAGTATAGTGGGTCTGCTGCCAAGTTTATTGCGGCCGGGTCAGGGCATGTGATCAAGGGGATTTTGTGGTGTGGGGATATCACTGTTGATCGGTTGAAATGGGGGCATGAAGTGATGAAGAAGAGGCTTGATCCTGCTGAGAAGAAGGAGGTTGATAAGAATACTTTGAAGAGGATCAAAAGGTTTGATTTTTTGAATTAAGCTATTTTTTTTTTTTTTGTTAACTTCTTATGCCTAACAATTTTGTCTATATTACCTGTTTGTACTGTTCTAAGAGTTCTATGTATTGTTTATATACAATTATGGTTGACATATTAATTCAGTTTTCTGTTATTTATTTTATATCTTTGATTCTTAGTTTAGTTGATGACATGTTGAATTGTCTTCATTTGAAACTGTTTTTTAGAAAGTTCCTTTACTAGATTACAGGATTAGGTATCGAAAAAATAATCAATGTTGACATTATTTTTTAACTATAGGATGGTCAGTGCAAGAAAGTAGCTTTAAATGTAGAAGACTAGAAGGGTGATGCCGTGATGGGGCTATTTCCTCTTTTATTTAGGATGCTGCTAATTGAAGAACTTTTATATGTTTTGTGTATGCACTATGGAACAATGAGTACGGAGTAATATAAAATGTTTTACCTTGCATGGAAATTATATCAGTGGAAATTGACTTTCAAGCTTCACTCTACTTCTTTCTTTTTTTTTTTTTTTTTTTTTTTTTTTTTTTTTTGTGGGGGGGGGGGTGTGGGAAAATAGAGGAGGAAAGTAAGAAATGAGGTTTGAAATGTGACGTATGTTCCGAAAATGAGAAGAAGTTTGGCAAAAAACATTTTCAACACAAGAAATCTATGTGTAAAATGCAACCCACAATTAACCTAACAGGGCTATGTAGGAAAACATGCAATTATGATAGTCAACCCAAGTCTGGCATGGATTGTGTGTTTGTGTGTGTTGTATTTTTCAAAAAATGAATTAAAGGTGCAAGCTTTAATTGTTACTGTTCAGTTCAATATACCTAAGTTTTGGTTTTATTAAATGAAGATTTCTGATACCTATTTTTCAACTTTAGGTCATTAGTGGTATCTGACAATCTAACATAGTCAATGAATATGCTTTGCTTGTCTTATAGGGTGAAGAGGATGACAAAAATGACCAAGCAGGTGGCAACTGGAGTGCTGTCTGGGGTTGTTAAAGTATCTGGATTTTTCACAAGTTCAGTTGCAAACTCAAAAGTAGGAAAGAAATTCTTCAGTCTATTGCCTGGAGAAATGGTCTTGGCCTCTTTGGATGGATTCAGTAAGTTCCCTTGCCTGTTTTAGTTTTTGCCTGTTTTTATTCTTTGACATTACTCTGTTCCTTCAGTAAATTTCTAGTATAATTCTACAGAATTTTTGTTGACTGAATGTAACATCATGATCTGTGTTTAATGCAAATTTTCTGTAGAAAATGCTTCTTGAAATTGTTTTTAAAGCCTTATAGTGTGTTTGGATTGAAGAAAATGGAGGGATAGGAAGGGAAGGGAAATGGAGAGATGAGGTATCATTCATTTGGGACTTTGGGTAACAAATGAGGAAGGAAGGGAAGTGGAGGGGAGAGAAATGAAGGGATTAAATTGCAAGAAATTTATCCCTCCAACAAGGGAGAGATTTGGAAGGAAAACTCACCATTCTTCCTTCCCCTCCCTTTCCCTCCCATCCTCTTCTCCTCCCTCCCCTTCTTTTCCTTCCCCTTTAATTATCCAAACACAGTATAGTCATAGTTTTCCACTGTTTGCAGCAGTGCAGGTTCTCCTGTTGATTATTAAAGCCATTGTAGCAATGTAGCATCAATGGCTCAAAATATGTCTCACAATTTCTATTCTGTTTGCTGATATTGCATCTCTTATGTGCTTGATGAAAATTTATTCCGGTGATAATACTTTTTTTTTTTTTCCAATGTTGTCTTTTTATGTCAGTTGAAGCATTCATGTTTTATGCCAATTCTAGATCAATCATTGCGGTGTGTTTTCTTCTCTGTTTCATCTGGAGTAATAGAATTATTTACGTAGGTCATTGTTCAGTCTTACTGGTCTGAATGTTTACTGGCACATATGATATACTTTTTGTTTATTTGAGGGGTGGGACTGTTTAAGACTTTAAGCTGTCAATGCAAACTATTTCTCCATTGAACTTACCATTCTTGCTGCGTGTTAAGATGACTTAATAATAATGACTTTGGGCTTGTTTTGATAGTAGTGTGTATTTAATTAAGTCGTATATTTTGTTTTCTTAACAGATAGAATATGTGATGCCGTTGAAGTAGCTGGAAAAAATGTCATGTCAACATCATCTACTGTGACAACTGGACTAGTGACACACAAGTAAGTGCTCACTTTTTCCCCCCTGACTAATCTGATAAATTTTCATACAGTTTTTAGCTTTTCAAAACCTCTTTATCTCGGGATTCCTTTGTCATGTTCTCATCTTCTTAGTTTGAATTGACCTTGGTATACTTTCTGAGCCTCTGAGGATTCACTTATTCTTTATAATGTGATGCACATGACAACTGGTTGCTTGTGAAGTATGCATGCTATTAGGAGCAAGACACTCTTTAACCGGAGAATATGAGTGGCCATGTACTAAGTAGAGAAGGCTAATTGCTGAATCCTGATAGAACTAATTGTTGGAAAGAACACATGTATGTTTCATTCACTTAGTGTCATCTAATTAGACATCTCTGATGGAGGCATGTCAATCCTTACTGATTAAAAATGCTTCCCTTAATCGCCTAATTCTTTTGTGTTGCTGGAGCCTGGAGATAAGGAGCAAACTATAGCTGGTTGAGTTGAGTTAAAGTGCGAGACTGACTAGAAGGGAACTCATTCAATTTACATACTTGGCTTTTGTTTGTGAAGAACCATACATAGACCACTTCCCCCCCCCCCTCTTGCGGTCCCAACTAAATAAGTTAAAGCCCTTAAAGAGAAAGAAAGAAGGTAGGGAGGGAGGTCAAATGTCAGTTTAGCTTTTTAGCTGTCCTTCGTCTATGGACTTCAATGAAATATTATATAAGCTAAAAATAATCCACCTCTTGGTCGTTAGAATATATATGGGGGAGAAATAGTTGTAAATGATGCCTTTTGTGTTTCAATGCAGATATGGAGAGGAAGCTGGTAATGCAACACATGAAGGGCTTGGTGCAGCTGGGCATGCCATTGGTACTGCTTGGACTGTGTTCAAGATCCGGAAAGCCTTGAATCCTAAGAGTGTCCTTAAACCTACCACTCTAGCCAAAACTGCTGTTAAAGAAGCTGCTCGTGAAATGAAATCTCAAAAGGGCTCGAAATGATTCCTGCTTTGCTTGGGAGATCCTTTATCCACTTATGTATGGAACTGAGTTGTATACTTGTATCTGTAACATAGTCCTTGAGTTTTGAAGCTCTGTTTTTGTTATAAACTAGCTTATTCTTGTAGCTTTGTATTCATGGCTTGATCCATTGGTTTTAACAGAACATCATCTTGAAATTGGTGCTTGCAAGTGATTACTGTAATTAAAATTTTACTTGCTGATTATTTTTCTTGTATATGAGGTCCTGCACTGAGGAATTTCACTTGTTTTGTTTTTTATGTTGCTGAATTATGAGGTACCTAAAATTTTCTCTGGTTCATATTTGCAGTGGTATTACATGCATCAGAGATCAACAGCTCGATTATATATGGTTGTACTTGTGTGGATGTAAACTAGCTTAGTTGGTTATGTCTTGGAGGTAATATACTTGGCTTGGGATCGAATCTTGTCTATGTTTGTGGCTCTCTTTAATTTACACCAAAAATAGTACTCGTGTTTCGTATTTATTGTACGTGGGGAACTTTTTGTGACTCTTGTTAGGTTTTAGAGACAGGGCAATATGGGGCTCAGACATAGAAGAGCACCTCTGCTTCATAGACATGTATTAAATGTCACCCACCAACATGAAGCATGGGATAAGATCACACCACTTTAATTTTTATTATGGTGTATTTTGATTGGTATTATAGATCCAATTGGGAACTTTTAAGGATTTGTTTGGTAGAAACCAATAAATTGTTTTGTTTTTCTTTTTTGAACTACTAGAAACCAATAAAATTTGATCATGCATTTTCCTCCCAGACAATTGGACGACTGTGATTGATTTTTCAAAGACAGCTGCACCCAGTTACCTTCAGTTGTGGACATCTACTGTGCAGTTGCTTGGCTTTCATAAATTGGTTTGAATAATGACACTAGTTATCTAGTGATTAGGAATCGTTAATGCAATAATAGACGAGATTTGACCTTCTATTGTTAGAATGCTGGGTAATGTATTACAGAGTACTGTACTAGTTAAGCTAGTTGATAATCACATAATTAAATAATTGTTCTTAAAAGTGAATAAGTTATTTTTTTTCATGTAGTGGCGCACTAGGGATGATATTTGTTGGTCATACAGTAGGAAATTTCAGATTCCAATTTAATCTAAGGCACATAAAAGTTGCTTTGTTACGTGTAATCTGTCAATAATTCATTTATTCTTGTATGTACTTTGGCTCGTATTGTATAGTTTTGTATTTTAATCTAAGGCACATAAAAGGCACACAAAACTCGTTTAATATCTTTCTTTGCTCTACTTGAGTTGAGCGAGTTTGATTGGGATAAAAAGGCAATTTACCACGTTTATTGGTTCTAAAGGAGTATGAAATGAACTGTTTAAAGCTCACTAGAATATATTATGTAGATAATATTTGTAGAAGTAGAACATATTCTATGTCATATTAAGGATAAGTTTGACTCTTTAATGAGAAGATAATAGTATAGGAATATTGTGGAGATCTATTAGAACCCCATTTAGGAAGCTTCACAAGTAAACAATTTCTGCAGTTGCAATACTTAATCATACATTTGATGGGTTAGTTTCTCATGCTGTAGGTTCACTGGATTTGTCATCGTCGTGGCGTCGATAATGTTACTTGACATACCCAGGGCCTATGGAGTCATACACTTACATGCCTTGGCCTGTCGATTTCCATAAGCCGCCCCACTAGTCTTAAATTATAATCCTAATTATATAACATGGATGTCATCTAATCCTGTCCTACCTCTGTGTTCTTTCATCGGATGTCTTTATCTCTTTAGTGAAATGAGAAAAAGGTGATTTGGTCTTCTTACCTAAGTTTTACCTGTCTTGTTTTTACTAAAGCTTGCTTCTTTTTGTTTTTTTACTAAAGCTTGTTTCTTTTTACACCTTATTGTAAAACATATGTGCACTTTCATCTCTTCATAATAAATAAAAGCAGGGCAGGGCATCCAAGAGGATTTTCTCCCATTACTGGACCATCTAATAACTACGGAGTAGAATTATTTTTTGTTTTTTTTTTAAAAAAAAAAACCCGCTTTAATTTAAATAGACCGTCCAATTACTGGAGAGAATCCCGATCTTGGGGACCCATTATATATAATTCAAGTTACCCAAGTGTTTATTACATATTATAGTACATGATTTACTACCAGCTTTGGAGAAGAATAATTGACAGATAGGGTACTTTTCACTACTTTTAGTCTGTTCTAAAAAATGTAAAATCAGTCTCTATCTAAAAGTTTGGTCTCTTCATTAAGACAAAGTTCTATAGCCACTAATTTTTGGACCTTTTTCATCTATAATATTCAATCATGAAAATATTTTTATATATTTAATTATATCTTGTTATGAATTTTGTTGTTTTACTGAAATTTCTGTACAATATGGTGCAATGGTCATATTATAATGGAAGGAATTCTGATTGTGGATGAGTAAGATAGCCACCATTTTTAGCTCTCCACTTCAGAAGCAACAGCTTATGTCATCTTCCAGGCAGAAAAAAAAGGATAAGAAATAAATTTTTGTACTCAATTATTCTAAGTACAATTCTAAAACCTTTAATGGGCTGAGTTTAGTGTTTTTCTTAGTGAGTGTACAAGAATTTTCAATTTCAATGGCGGAAAATTCAAACAAAGCTTCATCAGAACCGTCTTCACCAAAGACACCACCGGTTGAATCTCCTAGGAAAAATAATGCATTCATTAGTAGATTCTTATGTTTTGGCACCACTTGTAAAGGAAGTCCGACTCTGAGACTAAGAAGGCGTCTTAGAGGTGATGTTGAGGAGGAGTTTCAGTATGCTAGCTCTGATTGCTTGTCATCATATTATAGTGTTTTTGTGGTCCGCCTTGCTATTATGGTATGTAAAAGCTTGATATTCACCTTTTTATCACATTCATGAAAGTTGTCAGATTTTACAAGGCATTTTATTAGTCTTGGTAATATTGGTTTATTTCTTGTGTTTTGTCTCTTGCAGGCTCTTCTGGCAATTTTGATAGGGATGCTAACTATACTAACATGGCACTTTACTCGCGTCTACACTACAAAATCCTTGGATAACCTTGCTTCTGGACTTCGTTATGAGCTCCTTCAACGTCCCTTGTTACGAATGTGGAATATAGTTAACTCCACAGTTGAGGTAACAACAGCACAGGTTAACCTCTCAGAGCTTATCTTCAAAAAGTACAACACCAAGCCAGTAGTTCAAGAAAATCAAGTTGAGGTTGACTGTCAAACTTTTCCCTTTTATCTCTTCTTCCTCTTTGTAATGTTTGAGTTTGTCAAATCTTGCTACTAATTTTTGCAAAAAATAACCTGTAATCTGCAGTTATATCAAATGATGAAGGATGTAATGTGGGCGCTATTTGCAAGTCACAAAGCACTTAATTCAATGACAATAAATTATAGGAACGGGTTTATCCAGGCTTTCCATAGAGATCATAGAAACAACAAAACTTTCTACATCTATTCTGATCTTGCAAATTATTCAATAAGTGCTGCCTCCTATGAAGTGAGCAAGGTTTCTTCTCATCAGCTTTGGAATGATCAGTCAATACAAGGAAACCTTTCTGCAATCTGGTATCGTGAGCTACTTGATCCTGTCAGTGGTGAGAAGATAGGAAAGCAAGAGCAAATTCCTCCTGACGACTTGATAAATGTTGCTGGACCTTCACAAGTACCTGATGGAGTTGCTTCGTGGCATGTATCAGTGAGCAAGCATACAGGTTCACCTTTGCTTTCTGCTGCACTGCCTGTATGGGACCCTTCCAATGAGAGTATAGTTGCTGTTGTGGGTGTTACGACTGCACTGTATAGTGTCGGACAGTTGATGAAGGAGCTTGTTGAGGCGCATAGTGGTCACATATACCTTACCTCTCAAGAGGGTTTTTTGCTTGCCACTTCTACTAATGCCCCTCTCTTGAATAATTCAACAAAAGGCCCTAAGCTCGTAAGGGCTGTTGAGTCAGAGGATGATATCATACGGCAAGGTGCTCAGTGGTTACAAAAGGAGTATTCAAACAAGTTTCCTCCGAGCTATGGAGTTCATGAAGAGGATATCAAGCTTGGAGGCAAGAAATATTACATCGACTCCTTTTTCTTAAATTTGAAACGACTTCCTATGGTAAGAACTCGGTAACAGTTGAGACTTTGAGCCATTGATTGTTCCAATACGATTTAAGTGCAACATAAAATTTTGTCTGCAGGTGGGTGTAATTCTCATCCCTAGGGAATATATAATGGGGAAGGTGGATCACAGAGCTTATAAAACATTGGTGATACTTATATGTGCTTCCGTCTGTATCCTGGTAATCGGATGTATTTGCATATTGATATTGACTAATGGAGTATCCAAGGAAATGAAACTAAGAGAAGAACTAATAAACCAACTAGATGCAAGAAGACGGGCAGAAGCATCAAGCAATTACAAAAGCCAGTTTCTAGCAAACATGAGGCAAGTACTAGTACTTGTATTTGAAACCTTCTTATTTCACTGCAAAGTTTATAAGTCAAATGTGTTTCCATTACTTGATTTTAAATTTATAGTATTTTGTGACATGTAACATGTGACATGTAAATGTCTTTGTGGTTGTTGATTTGTTTGTATATCTTGGAAAGTAAAAGTTTGGCTCCGTGTGTAACAGCCATGAGCTGCGAACCCCTATGGCTGCAGTGATTGGATTGCTGGATATTCTAATTTCTGATGATTGCCTCACAAATGAGCAACATGCAACTGTTTCTCAGATTCGTAAATGTTCAAATGCACTTCTCCGTCTTCTTAACAACATTTTGGACCTCAGTAAGGTACCATACATTCAAGCAGCTTGCCTATCTGATAGTTGAAATCTGTTATGCATAGCATTTGTCTTAGATACTGAACTTCTGAAAATATTAGAATATCTGTAAAGTTAGTTCAGGATGTAATACATGATGCTTGAGCCCAATTTCTGAAATTTGTAATTTTGTAAAATAAAAAAAACAGGTTGAATCTGGGAAACTGGTACTTGAAGAAGCAGAATTCAATTTGGGTAGAGAACTTGAAGGACTTATTGACATATTTTCGGTTCAGTGTATCAACCACCATGTAGAGACTCTTTTAGATCTCTCGGGTATGTATGTACAACTAGTCAATCTTCCCTTTGTGTTGAAGTAAAATGTGTTGCCTTCTTGCATGAACAATTGGTTTTACAGTCAGTATAATGTTATCAGAACATCCTGATTTTCTGAAGGATACTTTGTTAAACTGTTGCTTTTCAGATGACATGCCTAAGTTGCTTCGAGGAGATTCTGCACGGGTGGTTCAAATATTTGCAAATCTTATCAGCAATTCTATCAAGTTCACAACCTGTAAGTACAACTTTGTTTCATGATGGTATTAATAGCTCTTTTAAGCAGAGGAGGATTAGATGGTATAGTATTACAACTCAATTGTTTTGTCCTTGCAGCTGGCTACATAATCTTAAGAGGATGGTGCGAAAAACCTGGTAGCTGCAGCAACACCGGAAGGCTTCCTCTCAATCAAGGCTCTTCTCCAATGGTGAAGTCAAAGCAATTAGGATCTTTCATGAAAAATCCATACAGAAAAGAAAACAAAGTGAGACTTTGGTTTGAAGTCGAAGACACTGGCTGTGGTACGTACCCAGTAACCCAATGATCTACTAGAAAGTCTATACCATTATAATCTTACTCTATATCTACTGGTCTTTCTTTAATTAATCACATTAATTTAACTCTCCTTTGATCAGGTATCAATCCAAATAAGTGGGAGTCTGTATTTGAAAGCTTTGAGCAAGCTGACCCATCAACTACAAGAATGTGAGCAATTTACTTGATCCTCCTACCAAGTCTTGACATTTAATCATTTGTATGATACTATATAATCTAAATTTTGCTATGTTAACTGATCAAGTCTCTAATGTAGAACATCGATTTTCTTTTTTGTTCTCCTATTTAGGCATGGTGGCACTGGTTTGGGCCTTTGCATAGTACGAACCTTGGTGAGTGCTCCTCCCTCCTCCCCCAATCCCCCTGTCCCGATTTTACAAAGCAATGAAGAGAAGTACAATGACTTTCTGAGAACATTAGTGGCTTTACAAATCTCTGTGCTATACTTTATGAGATGCTGTCAAGATTAAAACTGCAACCTCGGTATTCTATTGTGTCCACCCACCTCCTGATGACTTGTAAATATGACAGGTTCGTAAGATGGGAGGAGATATAAAGATAGTTGAGAAGAATGGGCCTGGGACATTGATGCAAATATCCTTGGTTCTTGGCTCTTCCTCGAATATACTTGAACAGCACATTCAAGTAGAACTCGCTGACCATAACTTGATGGTCAGTATTCCTAGAGCTTCATTAGTGTTTTTGATAAAAGTATTTGTTAATGATAATAATTGATCATACTATACACTTTATTAAGATGGCATTGCTTTTATAAATGAAATTATGCTGAATGTAGTTTTCCATGAAATATTGAAAATTTTCTGTATGTAGGTACTACTTGCACTAAGTGGCAGTACAGGAAGGTTAATTATGTCCCAGTGGCTAGATGAAAAGGGGGTTTCTACATTACAAGCGTCTGATTGGAATGAACTAACACAGATGCTTAGAAGGATTTTTAAAGACAAAGGTCCACCTGGTGACAATTTCATTGACATACAAAACCAGATAGAACCATTCACTGCTAAGGATGTTAAACGGTCACAGATTATTATAGTCGTTGATATTGGTTTGCTTGACTTGAGTACCAATATCTGGAAGGAGCAGCTGAACTGCCTCAATAGATATGCAGACAAAGCAAAGTTTGCATGGATATTAAATCATGATACGCCTAGTTCAATCAAGAAAGAGCTTCGAAGAAAGAGACACTTTTTGATGGTTAACAGACCGTTGTACAAGTCAAAAATGATTCAAATTTTGGAAGCTGTCATTAAGCAAAGGGATATTGAAGTACAGTTAAAAAGTGAAAGTGCTTCTGATTCAACAGAAGGGGAAATGCATGAATGTCTCGAGGTGGATCCCATTCATTATGATGCCTCTAGCTCTGAGGATTCTGATAAAGGCGATGTTGGACATTTGAGCTCTGGAAGTGCAAGTCAAACTGAGGCAACGAAAAGGCAGAGAGGTGTAAAACCATCATTCTCACAATTATCAGCAGCAAACAACTATCTGCTTGAGTTTGATGAAGATGGCTTTCCTGAAGGTAACCGTGACAGTCAGAGAGATTTTGATGACAACAGAAACACTTTGATCAGCAGCAGCTCTGAAGAAAGGAAGGATGTGCATTTTGCAAAGAATTCGAGTGATCAGAAATCACTAGAAGGAATTAAAATCCTCCTTGCAGAAGATACACCAGTTCTTCAGAGAGTGGCTACAATAATGCTGGAAAAAGTAGGAGCTAGAGTGATGGCTGTCGGAGATGGATTACAGGCAGTAAACACTCTCAAATCCTCTCTAAACGCAGAAGGATGCTGCACAACATCTCCCTTACCCGAAGGAGCAGCAAGTATTATAACTCCAACTCTAAGCCGGAATTTCCCTCCATTTGACTTAATTCTGATGGACTGTCAGGTAATACACTTCATTGAATTATACTGATTATCCAATGTAATCAGAATAGTTAATAAGTTCCTGATTTCCTACAATATACTGTCTTGTGACTATGCAGATGCCACAGATGGACGGTTATGAAGCAACAAAAGAGATTCGAAGATTGGAATCAGGAACAAGTGTCCACATTCCAATTGTTGCACTGACAGCCCACGCAATGTCGTCTGATGAGGCCAAATGCTTGGAGGTGGGCATGGATGCTTATCTAACAAAGCCAATTGACTACAAGCTTATGGTATCTACCATTCTATCACTAACCCGCAAAGCGGCTTGAGCTTTTTTTTGTACCCCATCATTTCTGATGATTCGCGTTAGCCTATAGCAAGCACAGGTTTATACAGTCATACTAGTAAAATAATAACAGTAGTGACTGAGCTTATTAGCATGTTTTGTAGAAAGCAAAAGTTGTACATAATTGATCCTTCATACCTCCTGTAAATGTTGTAACTGTAATGCGATATACTGGTAAGTATGCATTACTAGCACAGTTGAATGTTAACTGATGTAAAATGTAAATAATGCATTTGACCTGTATACATATGTAATCTCATTTCAATACCTTGTTTGCATTAGGCCTTTAATTGAGGAACATCCATTGGACCTGTGTGGGTCGGGTCGCAACCCATTAGATACTGGCCCATTTTATTATTAAGGGTAAAGATTCTATTATTCTAAAGTGAGTACAAAATTTGAATTACAGTTATAAATTGAACTATGTATGTTTTGTTTGGTTGCTTACTAGTTGTAGAGGAAAGGAAAATGTTTAGTACCATTTAAAATACCAATCAAAGGAAAATAAAAAAATCATTTTTATTATTCATCTTAATGTGTGATTTCACACTACTTATTCAATAGGCATATTAATGGTTAGAAAATCATTTTCGTCGCAGGAACGGATATGATGCGGATTGTGTCACAGTTTTCCCAATGTTAATTTAATTTTGAAGTCTTGTAGAAAATTATACTCATACTTGGTAACACTTTTACACTTTTCGAATAGTTAAGAGTAAAATTGTACTGTAGAGGATTAGAGCCATTAGAGGAGAGACATGCATGAATCTTTCACTGTATCTTTAAATAAAAAGTAACTACTTTTGAGTGAAACAAGAGAGATAAGTAACGCAAAGTGATTTGGGGTTGGAATGTTTAATTCGCCCAAGATTGTGGTTTTTCAAAGCTTATTATTGATACAAATGATTTTGATCAATTGAAAATTTACAATACAACCCAGTCAAAATGATGCAGCTTGGTTTAATACGATGTGGGCTTATCAGTGTTCACACAGTCACACATACACATATTAGACATTACATCATGGCATGCCGACGTACGTATGTAACACACAATATAAAGTGTCAAATTATATTGCACTCATTGGGCATGAAGACACATACTAAATTACTAAGTAGAGGAGGAGAGGACACATTACACATGTAACTAAATAAGCTACATTTATAATCACTTGCTGTAGTTTACATCTTTTCGTTCTTTTTCCATTCAATAAGATTCAAAACTAATCCACAAACCTCAATTTATGTGATTATGTCTTTTACTACTACCCTAATCATTTATAATGAGGCATTGAGGGCTTGAGGCTCACCGTCGCCCTCAATTTGTGTAGCATAGCTTTATTTATGTATTCAAATGTTGTTACTCGTACAACTTACAAGGTTTAAATAACTTTTAAATAATCCTCCATACTACTTTTGTAAAAGATAGTACATGTGTTGTTTTTCATATGAACATAATCTCCTACTCCATATTAATGAATTCATTATTACTCATATTATATTTGTTTTATCCGTATCAGTATCCATCTTAGTGCAACCTAACATATCATATTTTTATAAAGCACAAGCACAACTAAATATATTTATATTTACACTTGTCCATTGATAATTTAATTTTTACAAATTCTAACAAACAAATTCACTAAGTAGTGATTAATATTAATATTAAAAAGGAAAAGGAAAAAAAAAAAAAAAGCAAAAGTAGAGTATGAAAAGGGTGTCTTGTTGCCCAAGTTCTGAAAAAGCATTTCGATTAACACCGGAGACGAACCCTCCTTCATCTCTCCCAACACTCAACTCACTCGATCAACTTCCATTTTCAGAGGAGAGAGAAAGTGAACCAAACTCAGTTCTACAACAATGGCGAGATACGACAGAGCCATTACAGTCTTCTCACCTGACGGTCATCTCTTTCAGGTCGAATACGCTCTTGAAGCCGTCCGTAAGGGTAACGCTGCCGTCGGTGTTCGTGGTACCGATACTGTTGTTCTTGGGGTTGAGAAGAAATCTGCTGCTAAACTTCAGGATTCCAGGTTTTCTTTTGCTTTCTCTCTTCGATTTTGATTGTTTTTTTGTTTTAGGGTTTGTGATTTGTTGCGGAAGGGGCTTTGATTTATATGATTTCAGATTTCTGACCTAATTTTGGGGAATTTACGATTTAATTAATGATTTGTGCTTGCTTGTGTGATTTTGATTGCTTAATTTTGTGTTCACTGGAAATTATTGATTGATTGTATCATAGCAATGAGAATTTTCCAGATTAGGTTAACTTGATTGATTGTACATGAATTGATTAACAATTGTAAACTGTAATTGAGGAAGATCTTTACTTAGGTTTTGTTTAAGTAATTTGGATTGTTTGAAGGACAAAGGCAACAACTTGGTAAGATGCATATATTGATGTATTCTTGTATCTTCGTTGGTGCCTAAACACGGAATCACGAGTGCCAAGCATATAGATCACTATAAAGCTCATTTCATGAATGTATGAATTTGATTTCATTTATGTTTGTGTCTTCGTTTGTGCTAAGAATTGAATCACTGGTATCTTGGATATCATCAGGTCACTATATAGCTTTGTTCCATAGATGGTGGAGTGATTCGATTGAATACATTTGAATAGATTTTGATGTGTTAGCTAGCAGGTTAAACTCATATTATGTGCAGCGAGGCTCTCATAAAAGGCAAAAAAACCTGAACCATGAAACGTTCAATGTTGTACATGATGACTAGTATGCTCCAGATATTGGCTTTCTTGCTTTCCATTTGGATATAATGTCCAATACTCTACATTTTCTTGTACATTTTGCCTCCTGTTGTGTGATCAAAGCCTCAGAGGCAATAAAGTTTTAGTTTATCAGAGTATTGGCTCTTAGGGGGTGTTTGGTATGAATATTGAAAACGGAGTGGAAAGGAAACAAATAAGAGTAAGGAAAGAATTTTTGTTTGGTTTAACCATGTAAAGGTATCACTTAAGCCTAACTCCCTTTCTTTTTGTTTGAGGAGTGTAAGGGTAATTGTTACCTTAGGTTTGATCGAGGTAACAAATGTGTGGAAACCATGGTAATTGTTATCCAAACCTTCTAATCAAACACTTGGTAATGGTTATAGTTGAATTGAATTTGTGTCCAACTCATTAAAAACTCTTACCAAACATGCTCTTATTGTCATCATATCTGTTCTCCAGTGTTTTAGAGTTCCTTACTCACTGTAATTGTTCTAGCATCATATATCAGAGCTCTGTTTCTTCTTTCTCTTCTTTTTTTTGTTTTGAAAGTGCGAGAGGCATGAGTTCGCGCCTTCTGTGTTATATATAAAACACCGTGTTCTTCTCATTTGCAGGTCGGTCAGAAAAATTGTAAACCTCGACGATCATATTGCTTTAGCTTGTGCTGGTCTTAAAGCAGATGCTCGTGTTCTAATAAACAGGGCACGTATTGAGTGTCAAAGCCACAAGCTGACCTTGGAAGATCCAGTAACAGTTGAGTATATAACTCGTTACATTGCTGGACTTCAGCAGAAGTATACCCAAAGTGGTGGTGTTAGACCATTTGGGCTGTCCACCTTGATTGTGGGATTCGACCCGCACACTAATGTACCAGCACTGTACCAGACAGATCCATCTGGTACCTTTTCAGCTTGGAAGGCTAATGCAACTGGAAGAAACTCTAACTCAATAAGAGAATTTCTAGAGAAAAATTATAAAGAAACTTCTGGGCAAGAAACTGTCAAGCTGGCTATTCGTGCACTGCTTGAAGTAAGTTGTCTTGAAATTTTTATGTTTATTTTCAAGTAGTGACATTATTATGAACTTCAACCGGTTAGATCTTGCTTCACAACTTCAACCGGTTAGATCTTGCTTCAGCTTAGCTGTAAAATCTTTACATCTATGATCTATGTGTCCCATCACTTAGAGGTATTCCTTTGAACATATCTGTCAAATATTTGGTAAAGCTGCCCAAAATGTCATGGTCTGAATTATAATTTGGGGAACTGACGTGTGATGATTATAGTTTGATCACTACATTCTTAATCCTTAGAGCATGTTTAAATCAATTAGTTAATACTGTAATACTCATACTTTGAAATTGGTAGTTCTTATTCTTCTTAAGCCTGGCCTTGATGTTGTACATTGTTTAGACATTGTTACTTTGCTACCATCTTGTACAATCTGTTTTAAGTTTTGAAGGTGGATGTGATAATAGATACGAATATATGCTTTTCAGTCTGGAGGTCTGTATCATTGCTACCATATTAGCGACTGACTTTGCTCCAAAAATTTATCAGGTTGTTGAAAGTGGAGGAAAGAACTTGGAAGTTGCTGTGATGACGAAAAAAGGTTTGCATCAGCTTGAGGAATCTGAGATTGATGCCATAGTTGCAGAGATTGAAGAAGAAAAGGCAGCAGCTGAGGCCGCAAAGAAGGGTCCTTCTAGTTCTTAACTTGCAGACTTGTGAATTAGGCTGTTCCTTTCGAGTTTTAATCTATTCCTATTTCTGCTTCTTGTTTAGCTCTAAACTTCTAAAGTGTTGACGAGTCAGACTTGGATTTCATGTATGTGCTGCTAGCTTGGTTTATTAGCCCCGTGATATCATCTGAAAAGCCATCAATCAGTGGTAGATTTGTTGAATCTTTTGGTATTTTGCTTCATTATGCCTTAGTAAAAGTACCTTGTTGACTCTGGCAATTATTTTTAGTTTCGATTAATTGGATGGTGTGAATTGTGAAGGTCAGTCGCGACGATGAATTTTTGCATAGTTGGGTACTACTATTTGCATAGTCAATTACACAATGATGGACACTAGGGGTGAGCAAAAATTCTGGGTACCCGGAATTGGAACCGGAGGCGGTTAGAAAATGGCGGGTCCGGAACTAGAATTGGACCCGGTGGTTCCAATTCTGGGTAATAAATTAAGGACCCGATTATAACCAATTCAAATTCCAATTCTAAACTTTTTGAAACCGGAACCGGTGGGGTACCTGGTTACCTAGTATATGCTAAACTAAATGAATTTTAAATAATAAAAATATGTTAAATGTATCTAATTTGTAAATTAAAAAAGTATTATTAATACCTAACATAAATACAAATAGCTTAATGCATATATAAGTTTAAGTATTAAACGCTAAAAATGAACCTAACTAGAATAAGAATTATAATTTGTATTATATTTTAACAATTACATACATAAGTGGGTATCCGGAGCCGGTTTTCGATGGTTCCAATACCGATTGCTAAATTTTAGGACCTGGTTGAACCAATTTCAATTCAGGATTCGAATTTTAGGACCCGGTTTCAACCAATTTCAAGTCCGGGTCCTAAAATTTTGACCAGGTACCTGGTTTGCTTACCCCTAATGGACACTCTTATTCAACTAGAGAGGAAATAATGGCTCCAATGTTTATTTTGGTCTTTTAATTGCTTCAATTAGAACTAGTCTTTTGACCCGTGCAATGCACGGGTTAGTTTATAGATATACAATACAAATTTTTATTGTAAAATAAATAGTTTATAAAGGAGAAGATGGGGTGAAAATTGAATGTAATTGTAGAAGATATTAAGGTCTTGTTTGGTTGGCTAAATATTTTGTGGGGAGTCAAAAATTCCATGAATTTCATTTTCACCCTCTTGTTTGGTTGACACAAAAAAGTGAAAATGGGGGTAATGAGAATTCATGGGAATTTTGACTTCCCACAAAACATGGGAATTCACTTACCTTATCCACCCTTGGTAAGTTGAAATTCCCATAGGAATTTACTTCCTCTATTCTTAACCAAACAAATTTGTTAAATTCCCACGATTTAGATGATAGGAATTTATTTCCCATAAATTGAAATTTCATGGGAATTTACTTCCCATAAATTGAAATGTCATGGGAATTTACACTTTCCTAATGAACCAAAAAATCCCTAAGTTTTTCTGTTAGATTCACTAAGTTTAGGGATTAACCTCCCTTTTTCTAGCTATCAAAAAAAAAAAAAAAAAAAAAAAAAAAAAAAAAAAACCCTAAGTTGGGGAAAGTGAACCATGCCAGCAACATTCATTTTTTTTTTTATACATGTACTTAATTAAAGTGTTTTTAAAAAAAATTGAGAAAGGGGATTAAAAAATAAAAATAAAAAAAGGTTAAATGAGGTGACATGTGGCATTGGTGAAAAATAAAATTAACATGTGGCTTGATGGGGATGGTTTGTGTTTTTAAATACTAAATATAGATATAGATTATTCGTAAATGCTCTATGCTCAGTACAATATTTTGCATTGGTTAATCTAGGGGCTGCAAAACATATCAGGATTCAGTAATTCATTTGCAGGTTATTATAGAATTCACCTCTTTTTTCATAGTCGAGTATTCTAAATGGGTATTTGATTTGCATGGGTAAATAAACTGTGTATAATCGCTATTAAACAAATACATTATTGAAAAAAAAAAGTTGAATTTGATTATTATGAAAGCAATAGAAATTCATTCATTTGCAGATTATTGTAGAAATCAATTTACTCCCTCCATTAATAGTTATGTATAACTTTGGAGCACATAACGGATACTAATGCAAAAGACGGGGGACAAAGATTAGAGGAAAATAAGGGAGTGACTAATAGGAGTGGAGAGAGAAAATTGGACCACCCCCCCCCCTCCCCCCACCCACTTGCAATTTTGGAGGGGAAGTCTGGTTTTTTTGGAGGGGTATGTTTTTCCCCCTAAATTTTCACCCAAAAATTCAAATTTGGGGATTTCAATATTCCCTCTAAAAAATAAAAATAAATAAAATGTAATACCCCGTATTTTTTAAAATATTTTATAAATGGAATTTTATTTTATTTATAATATTTATTTGTCATTTTTCGGAATTTAATTTCAAAAGTTTCAAATTATTAATCTAGGTCAAAAATTATTTGAATAAATTATTTTATGCACCTTTATTCTACAATTTATGTCCAATCAAACAATCCTAACCCATTTGTTTACTTAATTGACCCATTATTTTTATGAGGCCCATCTTCCGATTTACCCTACAATTGTCTCCTATAAATACCCCATGAATCCCCAAAAATTTCCCACACAAAAAGGTTAGTCTTATTTTCTCTCTCCTTTATTTTATTAATTTGTATAATTATAATTATTGATTTATGGATTTTGATTTTATTGTTTGAAAGTAATTTAATTAGTATCAAGTTGTATTTTGATGATTAAACTTTATAATTTCAGATTTTATAATGTCATTATTTTCAGATTTTGTAAATTTTATAACCTAGGGTTTTTAATTATTGAAAATCATGATTTTAGGGTTTTTATGAACAATTGATTTAGGGCTTTTATAGTAATGATGTTTTGAAATTTTGGTGATTATAACTACTGATTAGTTTAACTTAATTCCAGATTATTTTAAACACTTAAATTCGTGTTTTAATTTTAAGATTTCCGTTCATTAATATTAATCCCGTTTTAATCCCGATCAGGTTATGAACTCATCCGATTTTGATGAAAAAGTAGGGTTTTTCATGTGGAAACAACGTTTTAAGAAAGACTCGTGAGCACCACCCTCCCGTGGCCAAATTCAGCCTCTAAATATGATTTTCGGGCAGTTTTTGATTTTAACGAAGTTTTTTATACTTAAAATATTATCCTTGAGTTTGATTAATAAAATTAATTATGTTTAAAGTTAATTAAGCATAAATATATGTTTTTATTGAATTTTTAAGTGTTGGAAATAGTTTCTAAGTACTACTTTTGATGTTTTATAAAGAGGGTTTAATCACCCATTAAAAAGGGAGATTATTAGGGGTTTTTAAATAATTTTCTGATTTTTATTAGACTTTTAACTTGCTGTAATTTCATGTATAAGAGTGTATTTTAAGGTTTTTATGAAGAAAATTTAAAGAACTATATATAAGCCTTTAATTTTAACTAAAGGGAAGATTTTAAAGTGTTGTTTGATTTGGATTTCGAAGGTTTTAAAGTAAGTTAGTATTGCTGTAAATTTGATTGATTGGGTATTGATTGAGATGTTATTATTTGGTTTAGGAGAGGAGTTTATTGAAGGTGATTTCTAGTTAGTAAAGTTCCACAAAGGATTGTTTACACGGTGTACGTACATGTCTATTTCGTTGTAAGTAGTATCATGTTTAGGTATCAAAGAAAAGAACTTAGTTTCATGATTAGAGAACACTTGGATGAAAATTGTTTGGTTATACATTTAATTAATTCATGTGCTTATGTTTATGAAACATGTTTTGGTGAATTGATTATGTTTGTATGAAATTATGTTTGTATGGAATGTTGATACAAGCATATTTTTATTGGATCGGTTTGTTAACCACATTTGGATTATTAAAGGATTGAAATTGAATGGTTTAAGTGGAATGAATTTATTAATTATTCCACAAGGTTGTTATTTATTTTATTAATCAATCATGAATTGTTAGTATGTTGAGTAAAGGTGGATTAAGCCGAAATGGCTAGGTGAGTTGACTATGTTCAACAATTTAGATAATTTGGAAGTTTAATGAAATTAAAAGTCAATTTGTGATGTGATCACCCTTGTCCTAAATAAGATTAAAAGTAAATTGATGTATGATTTTTAGGTATGGTCTATTTGATTGAGTCGGCTATTAATTAAAATTGTAATCACGTAAAGTGAAACATGGATGAGCAATAAAACTCTAGAAAGCGTGCACTTCTAGAGTATTGACAATTATGGGTTGGGGTACACGGTGGTAGCCCGTGGCTTTCCGAGGCTTGTTTGATCAACATGTCCTCTTTTCTTTTGGTATTTACATTTTATTTTATAATGAAAGTTAGATGGGATCCTAGACTAACTTTGTGAGAATGGAGTCGCGCCTATTCTTGCATCCCGCTAAACTTTTATTTTAAATGGTCATTTGGGACCTAAATGATTTGGTGGATTGGACAACCTCGTCTATTGCTTACTCCAAACTAAATTAATTAAATTAAATATAAAGAGTCAAGTGTTTGGAATTGATTAGCAAGTATGTTGAGTCGAGTGAATTGTTTAAGTGTGGAGTCTTGATTAATGAATTCGTGTTGTATGTTTATTTACTTTAATTAGTTGAGCATGCTAGGTTTGGTACGTTGTAGCTTGTATGTACTCAACTTTGCTGATTGCGTGCTTTTGTGTGTTTACTGTTGGTCATGGCCTTCGCCTTTCAATGACCCTGTGATGATCCAATTATTACCCTTGTATTATTGGGGAGCAGTATTGCACAGGTTAGTTTGATGATGTGAAGTTTGGGGATTTGACATACGCATTGTCAAAGGATTTGTGTGATTGAGAGTATTCGTTCTTTGTGTTGAACTTATTTATGTTTTACTACTTTAATTATGTTTTGGGACTTTGATTATTGGTTTGGTTTTAATAAGGGCCTTTATGGTTCCAATTTGTAAGCTTTGACTTATTGGTTTTCTAAATTATATTATTTTAAGATTTAAGTTGGATTTCCGCTGCAATACTTTGATAAAGACTTAACGTTTTAACACGTGGCAGTAACATGCTAATGGTTCTCCTCTATTTTTATTTAAAGTAAGTGGTTGAAAAAGGGAGAATTATTGGGGTGTTATATAAAACATCAAAGATTCAAACATAACATGATTCATTCACCATTAAAGCCATGCTTATAAATACCATCCTTCCTCTTAGCACGAACCTTAGGGGTGGCCTTTCCCTCTTAGATCTAGGTTTTTTTGGAGCCACAACACTCGCCTCGCCACTCTCGGCAACCAGATCTACACCACCCTCAAAGAAATCAAACGATTTCTTTAGGGACTCACCTTGACCCTCCTCCCTTTTGATTCTTTCTTCCTCCTCAATACTTTTAAGGACTTGACCCAAAACTCTGTAAGTGTACAAAGTACAGTAGGGACCGGTTTTACTTGACTCCTAAAATTGACGAGGGAAAGGAGAACCCGTCTCAAAGCAGTGGATGAGGTTTTGGATCAGATTCTCCTCACCCGCATCATTTGTAGCCATGTAAGCATCCTTTAAAGGATCTAGGTTCACCATTGTTGTGGGGGACTTTTTTGTGAAAGATTGAAGAAAAGAAGAGTAGATATGGAGGGGGAAGTGAGAAAATCACAAGTGAAGATGAGAGAGAAAAACCCAGAAGATGAACTAGGGTTCATCTTATGAACTCTCCAAAAAATATAGAGAGAACCAACCATTTTGGTGATTGGAAATGTGAGTAAATGAGGAGAGAAGGGGGGAATTGGGAAGATAAAAGGAGGAAATCATTAAATTAGGAGAACTTGATTAGTTTTAGGTTAATTTGATTAGTATATAATGAGGGTAATAATTAAGAAATTAAATTTTTTAAGTAAGGTAATATTGTAATTTCCAACCTTTTTCTTTACTAAAAATAGGAAGAAAATGAAAAATTGCACATAATCCTAATCATCCCAAAATGGCAAAAGTTGCACATAACTATTAACGGAGGTAGTATTAATATTCTGATACATATAATTTGTGTATAATCGTTATTAAACAAATCCATTACTAACCATAAAAGTCAAACTTTAGCATATAGAAAAGCAACAAAGCGTAGGTGTTTTTCATAATTTCAATATGAAGTAGTACAAATTTTGAAAGAAAGGGCTAGAGGGGAATTACTGGAGTATGTTGTTGGGGTCTAGTAGCTATCACAACCAAGAGGTTATGCGATCAAACTCTACGAGTGTTACTTTAGGTGGGTTGTGAAAAAATACTACCTCTGGTTCATTTTACTTGCAACAAAGTACAAGTTTTCGGAAACCAAGGCAAAAGATTGAAAACATGATTATGGAAAAATAAGGGTATGTGGTTAACTATTAATCTAACCCAAAAAAAAAAAAAATTCAAACTTAATTAAATTAAATAGCCCACCACCACCAACACCACCAAGCACCAAGCATCACCCAGCAAACCCCGACGCACCACCACCACCTCACACACCCAGCAAACCGTCGAACGCACCCCACCACCTCACGCACCCAACAACCTGCCGACGCACCACCACCATCCCACGAACCCAGGCAGTACCCAGCAACCCACGAACCCCAGCACCCCACGAACCCAGCGACCCGCCGACCCACCACCACCACCCCACGCACCCAGCATTGTCGATCCACCAACCCACCAAACCAATGAAACCATACCCACGAAACCAACCCACGAAACCCGCCAATCTGAAACCACGAAACCCGACCCACGAATCAAACCCAGGACGCCGCCGTTCTGCAACCCGCTGCCGCCGATCTGCAACCACGAACCTAGCACTGCTGATTCACCAACCCCCAAACCCACGAAACTAACCCACAAAATCCGCCGATCTGAAACCACGAAATCCAACCCACTGCAACCCCCCGCCACTCGTAAAACTATGAAGCCACCATGAAAATGGGGTTGGAGGAGGAAAGAAAAATCAGATTTGTAATTAATTAAGGTTGGGGTTTAATTTAATGAAATCGGGATGAGAGTTTAATTAATTAAGGTTGGGGTTTAATTTAATGAAATCAGATTTGTAATTTAATAAGGGTGTAAGAAAAAAAGTAAGGGCATATATGTCATTTTATAGGCCAAAAGTTACCAAATAAGGAAAAAAAATAAAAAATAAAAAATTGAACCACCACAAAATAAAAATTGTTGCAAGTAAAATGAACCGAAGGTAGTAAATAAAAATTGAAAAAGTTAACCAATTGAAAATAAAAAGAAGGATCACAAGGGAAAAATAGATCAAAGAAAGAACGTATTAATTTGAGTAAGAAGATTCAATCTGAAGATGAAAGAAGATTACGAGGTTCAGTACTCCAATCTTTAATTTTCCTATATGCTACGTATTAATTAATTTATCTATGAAATTTTCATTTCTGTAATTCAACTTCATCGCAAATAATAATACTCTATATTTCCCAGTTCTTCTGAAATTTCCTTCAAAATCAAAACCCTAACTCTGCTCTGTAATCAATCTAGTTACTCTCATACTTCATTTTGTGAGCTAAATTATTTATTCACTTGTTTAATTGCAATTTATTTAGTAATAATCGAATTGATTTCAATTCCAATTTTTAATTTTTGGGTAATTTGCAGACAGAAGAGAGAAAACAAGCTGCTGCAGATGTTTTGTTCAATTACTCCAAATTTGTAGCGGCCTGTATTGGAAATCGTGTTCGTCCCGGTGATTTGAGAATGCATCTTATGAAGGTAGTACATCAGATGATTAATTTATGTTTTTGTTGTTTTTACTCCGTATTTTGGTCTCAAAGGTGCCACAAAGAGCAATGATGTAGACGGGTTGTTTTTGTCTTTACGACTTTAACCAACTAAGCTAATTGACGTCTTTAATAATTTCATTATTGATTGCAGGTTTGTGTGATTGATTCTAATAGTCTTTTAGATGAAAATTTATGCCATGAATTTTGTGGGATGACTCATTAGAGAGACAGATTATCATTCTTATCAACCATAAACAAAAACACTGGAAAAAAAAAGGATTACTAAAACTCGTAAATAATGCGCTATCTTTAGTTCAGAGGAAGTAATTCTTGGCTTCAAGGCAGATATAATGTAAAACTATTTTGTGCTCCATTCTTGTTTTGATATTATTCCGAATCGAGCATTTAGTGAAATGATTGGGGGAAGGTTGTTGCTATGCCATTTAGGTTTTGATTCTGAACAAATAAGTATGCAATGTTGTCAATTTATGTCAAAGATGCTAATCTTACATGAACTATTGACCTATATCACTTGAACTCGACTGCTAGAATAATGGTGTTTGTTCTCTGTATAAAATTTTGCCTTTTTTTTTGGTCCAAAAGGAGTGTTAAGCTATACATGCCTTGTTGGAGTTTTAAGTACTTGGCACTGGTATTTAGATGAAAGGAAGAGTTCGAGTAATTTAGAAATTGGATTAGATAACAATTAGCAGCTTTATTGTCTTGATGTATCTACATAAAACTGAATTCCAATTCTACTTGATACTCAAGTCTTGTTTAAACTGGCTTATATTGTTACAAGAACTGTTTGTTTTGCGGTATTTTTACCAAATCCTAGTTTCCTTTTGTGGAATCATGCTTCTCTATGTATAATTGTATCTTAATGATGTTGATGTAAAGGATACAGGTAGTGAAACTGTTGATTACATGGAGAAGTTAAAGCAGTTTATAATTAAGTGCTCAACTGCTCATAAACAAGCAAGCATGCCTTCCAATTTTGTGCAAATAAATTGACTTACCTAAAGTGCTATCTTGCCCACTGGTTGTGTGCTCTATTGAACTTAGACTTGAATAAAATTTTAGGATTAGATTTATCTTATGATGATATATTGCAAGTTTCTACTCTCCAGGAAATATCTGGAATACCAACATCTCTGAAGCGGGAGTCATTTCCAGTTGCAGCTTCTCCAGATGCAATGGGCGAATCTTCAAGTTCTGGTACAGCTAGACTCGATAAATCAGATAGCTTTCGTGCACTATGAAACTCATGGACCGAAAGATGTGGACCTATATGTGCACTAGGAACTGGTCATGGGTACTTGCTATCTTTTGGTTTTGTTTTCTTTGGGATGATGGGAATATGTATAATACCAGCTAGTGTATACACATCTGATATGATTGTATGAATTGTATCTCTGTCAAATGGGCAGAAACATTATATTGTGGCTGTGATGTGTGTGAAATTCTCATCGTTTTTGTACATGTCTACCATGAGCTTTCGTGAAGTCATGAATGTTGTGTCCAAATCTAGAAAATCTAGTTATACAAAGTACGTACTCCGTAGTTAGTAAAAATAATTTTCTACCACCTAAACCCGAATGTCATTTAATGACTCTTTCTCCTTTCATTTTTCTCTCTTGATGATGCCAACCCAAAATCGATATTGGTTGTTTTTACTCTTAAACCTCGGTATACAGATCTTGTTTTAGGTTCAGACCAAAAACGTGAATACAAATGACTAACCGATTTTAATTGAAAAAAAAAATTCGTAAAAAATTCAATACCGATTCATAAATGAGTATATAATAATCCAATTAAAAAAAGCATTATTCAATCGTTCAAAATTAATTCCCCATTTGTTTCTAAATAATTTTATCACTTGTTTCTGACTCATGACTAGTAGAGCTGTCAATTCGGGTAGTTAAGTCGATTAGGTCTCGAGTTAAATCAAGATCAGGTTATGTCGGATCAATCTAGCTTCAGATCAGGTTCAGGTTGGGTCAATTTCAGTTCAAGTTATAACGGGTCGTTCACCTTTTCGAATATAAGTCGGGTTCAATTCGAGTTAAAATCAGATCGGGTTCAATTTCAGGTTCGAGTTGTGTTGAGTCGGGTTTGAATGGGTTAACAAGATGGTACATTCAGGTTCGGGTTAGTGTTGAGTCGGGTTTTGGTTCAAGTTCAATTCTAATAATATCGATGTGGCCAAGTTGAACTATATAATTACCCCTTCCATAATTTGATCAAGCATCATCAAAATTTTATTAAACCTATATATGAGTAGTAGAGAACAAAAGTTATATAAGCTGAACAAAAGATTTTATTAAATCGGATTGAGGGTTTACAGAATTATACCAGTATATAAGCTGAATAAAAGGTATATAAAATTTTATTAAACCTTCTATGACTCGGGTTCATCTTTGTCCGTTAAGGTTGGGTTCTCGGGTCGGGTCAGTTTTTGACAACTCTAGCTATAATCCACACTTTTTGAGGAAATTTTGAGGTTTCGGGGCCCGGTGGCAAAACGTGTTGAGTCCCTAGGGGATATAAATCGGGGTCATATAATGCCGTTTGAAACCATATATGACCATTATATATTTTCATAAACGTACGTGGTAGGCTTGAGTTTACGAAATCAATGCAAGTTGTGAACGGGTAAAATGACCGTTTAAGGGCATATTGGATGGTTCCACCGACCCAATTAGACACTCGGAGGGTATTAAGGACCATGGTAAACATCTCGACAATTTTTTTTTTTCGGACGAAAAATGGTTAAAAAATTACAAAATTGAAGGATATAATAATCCACGCTTTTGAGGAAATTTTGAGGTTTAGGGACCCGGTAGCAAAAAGCCTTGAGACCCTATGGGATACATCTCGGGTTCATATAATGCCGTTTGAAACCATATATGATCATTATATGTTGTCATAAACGTCCGTGGTAGGCTTGAGTTTACGAAATCGATGCAAGTTGCGAACGGGTAAAATGACCGTTTCAGGACATATTGGATGGTTCCACCGATCCATTTGGACTCCCGGAGGTTATTAGGAAACATGGTAAACATCTTGGAAATTTTTATTTCCTGGCGAAAAAAGTTCAAAAAATTACAAAATTGAAGGCTATAATCCACGCTTTTTGATGAAATTTTGAAGTTTCGGGGCTCGGTGGCAAAACGTGTTGAGACCCTAGGGGATATAAATCGGGGTCATTTAATGCCGTTTGAAACCATATATGACCATTATATATTGTCATAAACGTACGTGGTAGGCTTGAGTTTACGAAATCAATGCAAGTTGTGAACGGGTAAAATGACCGTTTAAGGGCATATTGGATGGTTCCACCGACCCAATTAAACACCCAGAGGGTATTAAGGACCATGGTAAACATCTCGACAATTTTTTTTTCCGGACGAAAAATGGTTAAAAAATTACAAAATTGAAGGATATAATCCACGCTTTTTGAGGAAATTTTGAGGTTTCGAGGCCCAGTGGTGAAAAGTGTTGAGATCCTAGGGTATATATCTCGGGGTCAATTAATGTCGTTTTAAACCATATATGATCATTATATTTTGTCATAAACGTACGTGGTAGCATTGAGTTTATGAAATCACTACAAGTTGTGAACGGGTAAAATGACCGTTTAAGGGCATATTCGATGGTTCCACCGACCCAATTTGACTCTCGAAGGATATAAGGGACCATGGTAAACATCTCAGCAATTTTTATTTCAGAGATAAAAAAGGTCAAAAAATTACAACATTTAATCCACGCTTTTTTAGGAAATTTTGAGGTTTCAAGGCCCGGTGGCGAACAACCTTGAGAACCTAAGGTATACATCTCAGGGTCATATAATGTCGTTTAAAACCACATAATATCATTAAATGGTGTCATAAACGTCCGTGGTAGGCTTGAGTTTACGAAATCACTGTAAGTTGTGACCGGGTAAAATGACCGTTTAAGATCATATTGGATGGTTCCACCAACCCAATTGGACTCCTGGAGGTTATTAGGGACCATGGTAAACATCTAGGTAATTTTTATTACCAGGAGAAAAAAGGTCAAAAAATTACAAAATTGAAGGCTATAATCCGCGCTTTTTAAGGAAATTTTGAGGTTTAGGGGCCTGTGGGAAAAAGCCTTGAGATCATAAGGGATACATCTCGGGGTCATATAATGCCGTTTGAAAGCATATATGATCATTATATGTTGTCATAAACGTCCGTGGTAGACTTGAGTTTACAAAATCGGTGCAAGTTGTGAACGGGTAAAATGACTGTTTAAGGGCATATTGGTTGGTTCCACCGACCCAATTGGACTCTTGGAGGGTATTAGGGACCATGGTTAGCTTCTCAACAATTTTTATTTTCGGACGAAAAAATGTCAAAAAATTACAATATTGAAGGCTAATCCACGCTTTTTAGGAAATTTTGAGGTTTTGGGGTCCGGTGGCGAAAAATGTTGAGACCCTAGGGAAAATATCTCGATGTCATATAATGCCGTTTGAAACCATATATGATCATTATATGTTGTCATAAACGTAAATGATAGGCTTGAGTTTACGAAATTACGACAAGTTGTGAAGGGGTATAATTACCGTTTAAGGGCATATTGGATGGTTCCATCGACCCAATTGGACTCCTGGATATAAGGGACCATGGTAAACATCTCGACAATTTTTATTTCCGGGCGAAAAAGGTCAAAAAATTACAAAATTGAAGGCTATAATCCATGCTTTTTGAGAAAAATTTGAGGTTTCGGGGCTGGGTGGCGAAAAGCCTTGAAATCCTAAGGAATACATCTTGGGGTCATATAACACTGTTTGAAACCATATATGATCATTATTTGTTTTCATAAACGTCCGTGGTAGGCTTGAGTTTAAGAAATCACTTCAAGTTGTGAACGGGTAAAATAACCGTTTAAGGGCATATTGGATGGTTCCACCGTCCCAATTGGACTCTTGGAGGGTATTAGGAACCATGGTTAACATCTTGACAATTTTTATTTACGAGCGAAAAAAGGTCAAAAATTACAAAATAGAAGGCTATAATAATCCATGCTTTTTGAGGAAATTTTGAGGTTTCGGGGCTTGGCAGCGATAATCCTTGAGACCCCTAAGGGTACATCTCGGGGTCATATAATGTCGTTTGAAACCATATACGATCATTATATGTTGTCATAAACGTCCGTGGTAGGCTTGAGTTTACGAAATCACTACAAGTTGTGATCGGGGAAAATGATCGTTTAAGGGCATATTGGATGTTTCCATTGACCCAATTGTACTCCCAGAGGGAATTAGGGACCATGGTAAACATCTTGGTAATTTTTAGTTTCGGGCGAAAGAAGGTCAAAAAATTACAAATTTGAAGGCTATATCCACGCTTTTTGAGGAAATTTTGAGGTTTAGGGACCCGGTAGCGAAAAGCCTTGAGACCCTGAGGGATACATCTTGGGGTCATATAATACCGTTTGAAACCACATATGATCATTATATGTTGTCATAAACGTCCGTGGTAAGCTTGAGTTTACGAAATCACTTCAAGTTGTGAACGGGTAAAATAACCGTTTTAAGGGCATATTGGATGGTTCCACCGACCCAGTTGGACTCTTGGAGGGTATTAGGGACCATGGTTAACATCTCGACAATTTTTATTTACGGGCGAAAAAAGGTCAAAAATTACAAAATTGAAGGCTATAATCCACGCTTTTTGAGGAATTTTTAGGTTTCAGGCACGGTGGCAAAAAGCCTTGAAACCCTAAGGGATACATCTCGGGGTCATATAATGCCGTTTGAAACCACATATGATCATTATATGTTGTCATAAACATCCATGGTAGGCTTGAGTTTACGAAATCACTGCAAGTTGTGATCGGGTAAAATGACCGTTTAAGGGCATATTGGAAGGTTCCATTGACCCAATTGTACTCCCGAAGAGTAATAGAACCATGGTAAACATCTTGGCAATTTTTAGTTCTGGGCGAAAGAAAGTCAAAAAATTACAAAATTGAAGGATATAATCCACGCTTTTTGAGGAAATTTTGAGGTTTCGGGGCCCGGTGGCGAATAACCTTGAGACCCTAAGGGATACATCTCGGGGTCATATAATTCCGTTTGAAACCACGTATGATCATTATATGTTGTCATAAACGTCCGAAGTAGGCTTGATTTTACGAAATCACTTCAAGTTGTGAACGGGTAAAATGACCGTTTAAGGGCATATTGGATGGTTCCACCTAGCCAATTGGACTCTTTGAGGCTATTAGCTAGGGACCATGGTAAACATCTCGGAAATTTTTATTTTCGGGCGAAAAAAGTTCAAAAAATTACACAATTGAAGGCTATAATAATCCACGTTTTTAAGGAAATTTTAGGTTTTGGGGCCTGGTGGCGAAAAGTGGCAAAATTGAAGGCTATAATCCACCTCATTGTACGAGTATAGGCTAGGTTAAGATCATTGTCGGTTAGACAGTCCTCGGGTCGGGTCAATTTTTAACAGCTTTAGGGTCA